GTGTAAAAGATTGGGTGCTGAACCTTGCCTCCTTCTTTGATCAACACTGCGCTTGTTGCTACAGCTGATACTGCCAAGTACAGGATGAGAGTGTCTCCGGGCGCTGGAGCAGAAAGGATTAGGGGCTTTGTCATGTAGTTTTTCAATTGATTGAGAGCTTCCTGCTGCTGAGGTCCCCACATATCTTTGTTTTTGGATCGAATAGCATCAAAGAAAGGTTTATACTTATCAGATAATCGGGATATGAACCGGCTGAGAGCCGCAATTCGGCCGGTTAGAACTTGCACTTCCCTGCGGGTTTTTGGCTCTTGGTTCTGTATGAGTGCCTTTGCCTGAGCTGGGCTTACTTCTATTCCTCTTTTATTTACAATGTGCCCGAGGAACTGTCCTGACGAGACGGCGAAGGAGCACTTGGTGGGGTTCAGCTTCATATTGTACCTCTTGAGAGTATCAAAGACCTCCTGGAGGTGCTTCGGGTAGTCCTCTTTCCGTATACTTTTGACCACCATATCGTCGATATAAGCTTCAACTGTATTCCCCAGTAGATTATTGAAAATTTTATTGACAAGTCGCTGGTAGGTGGCTCCGGCATTCTTTAGACCGAAGGGCATCACCCTGTAGCAGTAAGTGCCCGTCTCTGTGATGAAAGCGGTTTTCTCCTCATCTTCAGGATTCATGGGAATCTGATTATAGCCGGAGTATGCATCGAGGAATGTGAGCCTCTCATAACCTGTCGTAGCATCCACCATTTGATCAATCTTGGGCAGAGGGAAGCTATCTTTTGGGCAAGCTTTGTTAAGGTTGGTATAATCTACGCATACCCTCCATTTCCCATTCTTCTTTTGAACGACTACTACATTTGAGAGCCATTATGGGTATTGCACCTCTCGAATGAATCCTGCTTGTAATAGTTTATTTACTTCCTCGGCTATTATGCGATTCCGTTCAGGTGCGAACCGTCGGTGCCTCTGCTTGACTGGCCTAAATTCTGGGTTAACCCTCAAACTATGGCATGAGACCATAGGATCGATCCCCACCATGTCCGAGTGATCCCAGGCAAAGACATCTGAATTGCACCGAATGACCCCGATCAATGCTTCATTCTCTTCGGCTGTGCAAGATGAGCCAATGTAGGTGACCTTCTGAGGGTCTTCGAGGACTACCTCTATAGCTTCGAGGGACTCCTCGGTAGGTGCTTCAGCCTCGGCTTCTTCCTCTACCTTGAGATACTTCGGCAGAGGATACTGTAACTGCTATGTGATTGCGCCTTTGGGATTCGCCTCCAACTGAGGTGATTTCGACGCCTTCTTTGCTTCATGTAGCGTTAGCATGTAACATTCTTTTGCAGCCACCTGGTCTCCCCAGAGGTCGATGACTTCCCTGCCATCTGGGGATAAACACCTCATTACTTGACGAAGGGTAGAGGGGACTCCGTTCATACGATGGATCCAACCTCTCCCCATAATGAGGTTATAAGATAGATGAATCTCCGTCACGACAAAGTTCTCCTTCAGAGTCCTCTTTGCTGCAGTAATGGATAGATCGATCACCCCAAGCGGATTCACCTTAGTACCATTAAATCCCATTAGGGGGCTGGAAGTTGGCCTGATGGACGATGGTGAAACCCCCAACTGATCAAAAGCTGTTTTTGTAATGATGTTGGCGCTACTTCCCGGATCTATCAGCACCCTCCTGATCATATAATTCACTACCAGGAGGCTAATGACTAAGGGGTCCTCATGCGGGCGCTGGACTCTAGACAGATCATTGTTACCGAATCCAATGTTGATGCTGCCTGGTGCAACCGTGTTTACCGAAGACAATCTTCGTAACTTATGAGCCTCTCTCAGCCTGGATCTGTACAACTCTTCAGACTCTTCATCATCCTCTGACCTTCTGTGTATAGCATGGATAACCTTTACCTGACCGCCCTCTACCCGTCGAGGGTTAACCTCCCGAGGTTTACGTACTCCTTCGTGGCGAGATACTCCACCAACTCTCCTCTCGCTATAATGCTTTCTACCTGTCGTTGAAGGGACCTGCAGTCATTGGTGGTATGCCCATAGTCTCTATGGTAGGCACAATGTTTGCTTTTGTCCCTCTGCTCCAAGGGTTGTTTCATGGGCTGAGGAGTTGCGAACCTCGTCTTATTCTCTTGGAATAGGCACGCTAAGGTAGTACGGAGAAGGGTAAGCCTGTCCTCTGTCCTTCGCCTCTTCTCAGGCGCTTGGGTGACTTGTGTGGCGGTATGAGGAACCTTCTGCATCCTTGTGCTCGCAGCTTTCTCTCGAGACTTGTTTTCCACTGTGACGAGGGTAGCGTGCTGTGCACGGTGGGCTACGTTTTCCTCCAACCGAATTAGATTTGTGCCCTAGCGTTCAAAGTCTGCATATCCGGGGGGGAATATTTGACCAAGGATGTGTGAAACTTGGTTCCCTGGATCATTGCCAACTTAAATGTTTCGATTGCCGTGGCAGGGTGGCAATCTACTATCTCCGAGGCCTCCATATTAAACCTGGATAAGAAATCTTGCAGAGTTTCTCCCTTCCTTTGCCTTATGGTGAAAAGGCTGGTGATACTTTTCTTCTGCTTCTTATTTCCGCAATACTGGGCTAAGAACATAGTGCACAAGGTCTCATAATCAGGGATAGACTTGTGTGGCCTATTCCTGAACCATTCTAACGCTGTTTCGGTTAAACTGGTAGGAAAAACCTTACACATCCACGGATCGTTATGATCGTCCAGTGCCATCTTTTGCGCATAATGATCGAGATGCCGAGAGGGGTCTCCTGCCCCATCGAACTGGGTGAAGGATGGCATAGTGAACTTTTTTGGTCTCTCCACAAGGTACACATCGTCAGTAAAGGGGGTCTTGACCAAGGAGTTCTTGTGCTCTTTAGCCATCTCAGCTGGTGTCTGAACTCTTAATAGCTTCTTTTCGTCGAAGGCATCTTGTACGCGTGCGCCATCTGGAACGCCATTAGACCATACCGTAAGCCTATGGCTGGACTCGGCCTGTTCGTCCTGTGTGCGGCACGGGAGATTATCCGAAGCAACCGCCTCGGACCTCGTCCCTTGCTTTTGCTGAACCTCATTAGGTCGAGCCCCATTGGGTGGTGTCCCGTTGACCGGAGGCTCGTGAACTGGAGGTAAATTCTGGGTGGGGGGTGGTGCTGCAGCATCGCCTGGTGGTGGTTGTGGCGTTAGCCTGGCCATTGCCGTGTGCAGCGTATGAGTCTGCTGCTGAAGCGCAGCTATCTGGGCGACACTCGTATCGTTTGCTTGCCGGAGTGTCTCAAATTGGTGCAAGAACTCCTCTCGCATCTTTTGCATCAATTCTATCTGTTGATTCATTGCTGACTCTCCGTTTGACATTCCAGATACGACTAAGGATTTGATTTGAAGAACAAGTGGGAGTATATTTTTATACGATTCCCACAGACGGCGCCAAAGTGTAGGTGCAAAATTTCGCTCAACCAATAATGATTGAGAAAAATAGAACAACACACTCAAAAAACAATAAGAATAAATAAGAACAGTGTATAGAGAAGCGTAGAATTGCTTGATCCCTTTATTGGAGGTCTAAACCTCTATTTATATACAAAAGATTGTAAAATTATGGTAGGACTCGCGTTGCTTGCCCTCCAATTCTTTCTATATAAACATTCTTTACTAATAGAATTTTTTCCATTGTCTAATTTTCCATACATAAAACTTGCCTTGTACAAAACTTCCTATCTCAGAATTTTCCTTCTACGGTAAATCCTTCAACTGGTAGGACTTGTGTATTCTTGAATAACTGGGCTGAACATATTTTGATCCGGCTGGGCTTGAGTAACGGACCGAATGTTAAATATTAACAAGTTGGGCTGATGACCTCTTGATTCGGCCTTGATGGAGGTTGGAGGACAAATAACAATGGTCTTGGGTTATAAATACCCTCAATTTGGGCTTGAGCATGATGGGCCTTATATGTCCTTGGAATGTAGATATGTGTAGTGATGACGTGTGCGCTTTTTATTGGAGGGAGTTTTTTTCCCTCCACAGACCCCAATGAGTCAAACATGTTCATAGCAGTAAAGTTCGCCAGCAATACCCAATTTGATTTGACTCAAATTTCGGTTATACCATAAACTTCAAAATGGAATATTTCAATCACCTAGATTACCGATATGACGTATACTTGGCCGACACCCAAATTGATCGAATCAAACTCAAGTTACAGATGGATTAAATTTTAAAAAAAAAAGAAAAAGAAAAAGAAAAAAAAAAGATATGAGTTATCATAACTAATTTATATGATAAACCCAAAACAGATCACAAAAGGGAAGAAAATTAACAAAAGAATAATAAAGGATTGAAATTGAAAACAAACATCTCAAAGAATAATGTAGATGGGAGGGGCAAATTTAATTCCCACAATGGATAGAGGAGGACGTGGGTTTGGGAATCGAATAAAAAGAGAGAAAAAAGAGAAATGATGATTACTTAATTAAAACGGGTCGATTTTTTTTTTTTTTTTGAAAAAAAAAGTTGATGTGTTATTTTTTTATTGGAACACATAAGGGATAAGTAGGGTGAAATTACTCACCAGTGTGTAACTAAGCATTATCCTTTATATTAGAAAGACACTTGTCACTTAATTTTTGTACTCTGGTAGGTGAGTATGCAGATGCTATCCTTCACTTATCTTCAATATTATGATAAAAATTCAAGCAGCTAAATGTTACATACAAGATCTTGTGATGGGCACCACTATAAAATCGAGATCATCGTTATCAATGGCTATTTGAGTAATCTTTTGACTTGTTTTTACTCCGTTAGTGTTGTATGTTTTGGGTTTGCTTACAGAACAGACCCAGAAAATTAAGTGAGGGACGTAGGATTTTTTTTGTAATTTATAGGCATGTAATTTAAATAAAATAAAATTAAAAAAAATTAAAATTAAAATTAAAAAAAAAAAACTGAATATGCTATAGTCCGTCCCTGCTTGCTTAGGCTAATAGGTAAAAAAAATTATCATTTTGAAATTTCAAATGTGATGCAACATCTCAATATTTGTTTGGATCTTACAATTGGTATCAAAAGGTCTTGAGATTACACATAAAATTTACAGAATTATTGACGCATAAAATCAACACGACTTTGGATGAACCGAAAATGAAGCTGAAGCGCGTGCTTCAAAATAGAAACGGAGTCGGAGAAAATGCCGGAATGATTGTTGAAGGCGGCGATTGTCTGTAAAAATCCAACATATTTGTCACCAAATAGATTCAACCAATCATACAAGTAGCAAATAACACATGACCAAACAATAACTCCAAATTCAAAGCAGACACAAAGTTTAGTAATACTTCTTTAGATTCCAAACTAGTCAGGTTGACATTGAAACATAAAATAATAAAGATATTGAGTTTGTGATAATGGTTTTATGTAATTAGATAATACAGCGAAACACGCATAATACAACTGGTGAAACCATTCTATAAAAATTGAATGTTAAAAAATATTTAATTCCAGATATAGTAATTATTTTCAATAATTGTATTCTTCTTATAAAATTCTTCAAAACTGTTTTTTTCAAAAAACTCAACAAAAAGCCTTTTAAACCTTAATTATACTTCACAAAAAATGACTCCTACACTAGTATGATTGTTGTTAGTTCGAGTTTTTAGTCCATTCTAATAGACAACACTTCCTTTCAATCTATCTATATACATATATATATATTTAACGGCCATTGTAAAGAAGAATGGAATATAACCTAGAATGTCGCTGTAGCTTCTGACGTGAACTCAGGCCGTCGGTGTAAACTTCCTCTTTAGGGTACTTAGATCGGACGGTAATGGACCGATCATCTTTCTCCTCGGAAATTGCAAAGAGGGAGGGACGCCACTCGACCAAAGAGCCAGACCTCGAGGAGGCCACCCTGCCCCGCTTCCGGCTGCGGTACCGGTTGCAGCTCCTCCTAGACGACGGCGGCGGCGGTGCCAGAGGCACGAGAGACCGTGTTTCCTCCACTAACGGCGGATTTGTCATCGATACCTTCGGACGAGAATTCTTAGACCCGTAGCAGGAGACAATTTCCAACAAGAACTTCATAAATCAGATATATATGTGTGTGTGGGTGTGTGTGTGTGAGAGAGAGAGAAGAGCTATGAAATTGTAAGAATCATGTGGTTACAGAGTGAGGCGAGGAAGCATTGGAAAGTCTTTCTATGGTTTGGCTCAGCTACCATACCTTTTATAGAGAATTTCTAAGAGCCTAATAAACTGCCCCCAAATTATTATTTTAATTATGAATTAAGAATTTAAGACAGAAGTTAGAGTAATACTGTAATCATTTTCACGTAAAAATATGGTTGTATAAAAATGAAGTGAATTGCTTAATGTTCAACTGTTAAATAAACGGATTGAGCTGGAGTTTTAACCATGAATAAGACAAACTATTAATATGGTTTTTTTAAAAAAATATTTTTGAAAAATTCAGTGCCTCTTTGTTGATTAAGAAAGCAATAAAATAAATAAAATATCATGAAAATTTAAAAATATAATATGGTTCGTGAATTGAGGAACTAAGCTGATTTGATTCACAAATTTATGGGCGAACAAGTTTTGAGTCCAAACAATCTTTAAAATCTCATTTCATTTTATCAAAAGACCGACATACATCATACTAGTATTATCAATTAATTCTGAAAAGCCTTGTCCCATGCATGTAACTTCGTGCGGTTGCGTTTCCTTTAAATTCGTTACCTAACTAAAGGTACTTAGGGATAGCAAATGCCAAAACGTTTAATTTATAGGTACGCATTTCAATAGTTAATGTTTAATAAATTTATAATTAATAGATTTTTGTGGAAGAACTAGGTCAAAGTTTGAGCCCGGGGCGAACAAAATTGTATTTATTTGTATTACCATTCTCACAAAAAAAAAAAAAAAAAATCCATGTTTAAAATGTATTTATAAATAAATTAATATATATACTCATGTCTTACTTTAATTAACCATCACATGCACATATTTTTTTACCTTATTTTCTCAACAACATATAAGCCAGCAAGTAATCAACCAAAGAATTATATAGGAAATTATTTATGGCTTAAGGGATCTATAGTAATGATATGACCGTTACACGTATCAATTTCAATCTAGTTGAAATAATGGCATTAAAAGTTGCATAGCATATCATATCAAGAGAAGCAACACAAACACATTAGCACCACAAATTTCTGGCCACGAGAGCAGGGAGTCTTCAGCTGCCTCATTTTCAGCACAACATTACTTTCTATCATACTCTCTCTCTCTATCAACACTGTTTCTACCCTTCCAACCTTCTAGGTAGAAAACTACTACTCAACAATCGAAATCGCCACCAATTCCAAAGGCCACATGTAGATGCAAATTTAATCGTTTTAGATACTTATCTTCCAACTGATGCCATATAATATCTAAATTTATTCGAATTAAATGAAACGAGAGTACAAGTTTGAAATATCCAGTGTCCAGTTACTATCAGTGTCATATAGATATGCCCAGTTGCTTCGATAGGAAGGCATTAGGGCCACTGGAAGATTATACAGCTGGTTCATTATTGTACACCTATGTAGGGATACATTAAATGAATGGGTACAGAGTCCCTATATTCACTTTCACGTAGACAGCTCAGTTCATGCTTAAAAACAATCATGCATGGAGCAAAACGAACTATGATTTAAGGCCTAAAACAAACACGGTAGGACATTGCATTTACGCGATAGTTGCAGAACCTTCACGAGCTATCGTGTCACCTTCCACAAATTACTGAACATGTCTACCACATAGACAAGCAAGATCAGTTGAATGAGACCTTTCGCATAATGCCAACTGGTTGAAAATCGAAACGAATGGAAGGGCAGAAATAGCAACAAACAAGAGAAGAAAAGAAATCAACGGTGACAGACATTAGCAGTAGGAGCAGCAGAGCAACAACAAAAGCTACTAAAATAACATACAACAATCATCCTCTAGCCCTGCGAATTATTCTCATAGGGGTCCAACTAAAAATAGTAAAATTTTGACTAATCAAGTTGTGTAGATTTGCCGTGTCCGTTTGGAGCGCACAAGAACAAATGTGAATCCGGTGAGTCTATTACCAGAAGGATTGAGGAGCTAAATATGTGTTGGGTGCCAAAACTAGAAATTTCTTACAACAAAAGATATTTTCATTGCTAAAAATCACCCATAAGGTAACAGAATAATTAAAATTCAAACAGGTACAATTCAGGCTCACAACTAACAAGTACGAAATTTCACGGAATGCTTATGAATGGCGCACACAAATAGTAGCACATAGTCATGTTTTAAAGTGCACAAATTTAAATCCATATAATTCTCGATTCAACATAACCGGTCTCATGTGAGGCTAACCTTCTCCACAAATTAAAAGAGCTCGAGACAGTAGAAGACCACCCAAACCTCTCACCGAGGCAAAATAGATATTATAATTAAGAAATGCTTTTCACTTTTGAGAGCAAAACAATATCTTAATGATGACCAGCTTATCCAATTGAAAATCGACTCCATTCAATATTGACGATTGTATGGAGATGCGTGTGGAGAACCATTGTTCTCAGATGGGGGACCTTGGCCAGGTGGTGGTCTCACTCTTGCGTACTCTGCAAATATAACCCATCCATCCAAATACTACAAAAACAAGAAAAAATAACAATCATCATAAAATATATATTTATGTATAAAAGGGGAGAGAGAGAGAGAGAGAGGAGGAGTGCTGCCCTTCTGTAACTGATTTATTAGATAATATTTCCATTCATTTAAAAACTTCCATAATCCCCCAAACATAAATCTTTCGATAGTTTAAGAGGTAGAAAAATGCGGGTGATCTGGGAAAACAACAGTGACTCAGAAACTCTATAACTTGTCAGAAGTACAAGATCAAAGGACAATAACAAAGTACATATACTAAAACATGCATCTTTGGTTTTTTTCCGATTTTCTTGTTGAGGCTATTAAAGATGTTAAGAGCGTGTGCCTCTTACAATTCTTTCTTTGTTCTAGTTCTGGTAATAGGAAATGATGGCATTCAGAATTCATACAGGAAACTCAATTTTAGAAGGACGACATGGCAATGAACAAGGAAAATACAATATTCAGGAAAAAGAAAATGAATTGACCTAAACTACTGTAGTTGACTACAAGTCTAACCTTCATATATATAATTTTTTTCACAAAACCAGTTGCACACATAGAAAAACTTAGCAGACCCACCATCCAGCATATTTGACCACCTAACTCTAGAAAAAAATTACTTTATAATGCCTATGAACCAATTCATTTTTGTTCCTTTAGTGGGTTTTAGGTTGCTAGGGTTAAAACATTTGATAAAAAGAAAGGTTGAAGTATAATTTTATGTCAAAAGGAGTAATTAACAAGAGAACTGGTTGCAGGTTGAAAATTGCCTAAAAATAAGGAAAAGAAGAAAGGTATAATGTATCTAGAAATTGCTTGTATAATCATTTAAGCATCATGCCTAGGTATAGGTCACACAACCAGAATTTTCCGCAGATTCCTCTGAGATAAATAGTCTTTTTTGTGCAATTCAAATGGGAAGTAAGTCTCTGTAACTTATTGGTGAACAAGAATACTGGAAATTCAACGGACCCTCTCTTTCCTTCTTTTTCTTGGGAAATAACTGAGATGAATGGATTTTTTACCATAAAAGAACCCCCTCTTTTTACGTTCATGAATTTTACTGATCAATAATGATAATAATGCTAGCCATTTTAATTTGATATACACAATAATCTAAATTTCTTTAACACCAAACAACTTTAAAATTCTGAAATTTTCAACTGAACTGATTTTCATTGAGCTTGAAAACGTACATAGGTATGCTGTTGGATTTTTTCTATTCCAACTAGGACTTAAACCTTGAAGAATATCTATATATTAAAACTTAAAATTGAACGAATCTAAACCAACTAGAAAGCATATGAAATAAGTACAAAATAATATAAGGTTAATGAAACTAAGACTGATGGACCAATATAACTGCCATTATCCAGAAATCTAAAAATCATAAAAATATCCTTCAGCCCTGTATTTTAACAAATATATATATATATATAAATAAAACTGAACCAGCAGTGTGAAGTTAGAGAAAACATAAAATAAGAATCACCAGAGAAACTTAATTATGCAAGTCCCAGTTGAGTCCCGTCGTGAAAGTCAACAATTTTATAGGATCTCTCACTTCTTTACAGTTCTTTTCCTTGAGTTTCTTGTTTACTACATCAAGGATATTGTAAATAAATAATATTTTTTACTTGAAATATATATATATATATATATATATATTTTTTTTTGGTGTAAAACTTTTCTCAGTATGTCTAGCATAAAGTTATAGGCGAACTTAATTTTCTTATTGAATGTGTGAAAGAACACGCGTATGCGTGCATGTACATGTGATGACCAACCTCTCAAGTACTTCAAAACTTAAAAAAAAACACAAAGAAGTGTGGTCAGTAGTCAGCTCACCTTTCCATCCATGCCCTTCATACCTGCTGTAGCCTCTTCTAAAGTCGTATATCTTACGAAACCAAACCCCTTAGAATATCCAGATATACGATCAGTCACTACTCTAGCTGCAACATGCAGAGAATCAATGTTAACAATTATTAAAGAAGCTTTGATAAATATATGTATTTATCTCACTTATCTTACCATGAACAACTTCACCAAACTTCGAAAAGGCTTTTTTAAGCCCCTCTTGAGTAGTACGTTTGCTAAGCCCTGAAATACAGAAGAAATAGAATCAGGTCAAACTCACAGTAACTTAAGAAAATGCCACCGCCACAATATTTAAAGCAGCATGACATACAAATCCTAAAAGAAGTGACTGCAAGATTGCCAATTTCAAGGGTTCACAAGAGCCCAAATGATTTCAAAAGCAAACAAGACATTATATGGCCATAAGTTCATAACACAATCTTATTTTGCACAAAGTGGCTACTCTCAAACAAGAATCTACCTCATCACACTTGCTACTCAAGCTTTCACCATAGCAACAAGCAATGAGTCACATGCTTACTAATTAACATAAAATATAGGGTAAAGTGCATAAAACCCCCCCTGAACTTTCTTCTCTTTCTCAAAAAATCCCCCTTGAACTATTATTTGGACAGTAAACCCCCTAAACTATTTCAATTTTTGCAAAATACCCACTCCGTCAAACTTTCCGTTGATTCAGCACAGAGATTTCACCTCTGCAGCTCACGTGACCAACTCAATTTTTTTTAAAGACACTATTACCCTTATGGCCCATATTTACTGGGTTAACTCATTTTAAATCCCAATCCATGTTCCCACCTTCCTTTGTCAAACAATTCAAACCCTAATAAATTTCTCCCACACTTCTGCCTCTCTCTCCCTTGAAAATTGAAGATCCATGTCAAAGGAAATTAGAACACAACAACAACAATACTGGTCCCATAGAAAGGTATATGTGTATATATATATATATATGTATGTTTATGAGCTAGAGATAACCATATTTATACAGATAACCCCAATAAATTTCTCTCCACTTCTGCCTCTCTCCCCCTTAGAAGTTGAAGATCCACGTCAACTGAAATTAGAACACAACAAAAACAATACTGGTCCCCATAGAAAGATATATATATATATGTATGTATATATGTATGTATATATGTATGTATATGTATGTATATATGTATGTATATGTATGTATGTATATGTATATATGTATGTATATGTATGTATGTATATGTATATATGTATGTATATGTATATATGTATGTATATGTATGTATGTATATGTATATATGTATGTATATGTATATATGTATGTATATGTATGTATGTATATGTATATATGTATGTATGTATGTATGTGAGCTAGAGATAACCATATATATACAGAGAGCACTACAGATGGAAATCCATAGAGAATAAACTCAAATTTTGTTCACTCTTAATTCTCAACCATTATCGCTCGTTCGATCCACATTTAGTTGATTAATTTTTCAACTCACTATTTCTATGGTTTAAATTGGAAAAACCCAATTCAGATTCTGTATTGTAGAGAGAGAAAAGGCCCAATTTTGATTATCTCTTGAATAGTTCATCCCTGCATTCTGTTATGGAATTGAAGATGATGATTGATAACTATTTTTTAATGTGATGGAACTGTTGCCTATCTTTTAGAGTTTGTTTTGCAGACTAATTCAAGAAAGGAAGGAAGAAAGAGAACATAGCTTCAATGGAGGAAAAAAATATAAAGTGTATATGTTGAGCTCAAAAAGTTATTTCTCTCTACAATACAGAATCAGAGAGAGTTTTTCTGAAACCCAATCAAAGAACTCCGGATGGAACGTGATCGGAAAGGATCTAGTGAGCCATGGAATAAGAATCCAACATTCAGCTACAAAAGCAGCAAAGATATTGAGATCCAGGAGCTCGACGATGATGAGAATGAAGAAAAATGAGACAGAGACCGATAACCCAACTTTCTGTATATTACTAATTACTCATTCACTCTATTATATCAATCAAACCCATCACCATCCACGACTCTTTGACACCATTTTCTTTTTTAAGTTTGCTATTTTTGTCCCTCCCTATCCATCCAAACCCAATAGATAAATTGTTGGAGAACTCTTGCCGTAGATCATGTGCAAATGAAGGGATTGTATGGCGCTAGAAATCAATATAACCAAACAATTGTGATAAGGTTGAAGATGTCAAGATGAAATCTACCGTTGAGTTTGGAATTAAGAATGAAGATGATTTCAATGGCCGAGTTTGGATCAAACAACGATGAAGTGCAAGTTAGCAAGGAATGATTCAGTCTATATATATATGTATATACATATATAATTCTGTGAGAGCTTCATGCATATAATATAACTGAAGGGAAGGATTGTTTGCCGTGAGAAATAGATATAACAAGCAGTATAGTATTATGAACTTATGATGTGATGTCTCTTTTTAATTGGTCAATAAGATTGCCTTGTCATGTCAGCATATTAAGTTGGAAAATAAAAGAACAGCTGCTTCACCTTAAGGGCAAAAAAGTAAACTTTTTTCCACTAACAATTTTGACGGATTGTCCTAGAATGAACAATTCTATAGTTTAGGGGGTTATTTTTAGTTTAGGGGGGTTTATTGCAATTGGGTCATAGTTCAGGGGGGTTTAATGCACTTAACCCTAAAATATATTAGATCCTAGTGCCTAAATTCTATCTGCGGTACAAGAAAGTATAAATAAGTAAATAACAGGCCTGAAGTTGTTTATGGACTCCAGAAAATAATTACAACAACAAAATATTTACAGAACATTTCTTCCATTGACTTTCTAAAACCTAAACTTCTAGAAGTTGAATTACCAATGAGGGGGAAAGAAAATAAGCAGTCCCCTTCTTGTAAACCAATTGTGAATTGACATTTGACATATGTAAAACCAACAGTATTTCTAGATCAAGGATCACTCCTGATTATCTGTATTATTATCAAGATATAAACTCTATTATCACTTCCTTACTTTTATAGAAATAATAAAAATATCCACTACATGTATAAGAAACACAACAATATAGTTCGTTCAATATGTGGTGAGAGTAATGATTTATCATTTATATAAACGTAGTATCGTACCAAAGATCAGTACAAAGCTTGTATTTAGGTACAATAATTTCAGATGAAATAACAAAAGACTTTGAAGGAGACATTCCACAGTGCATGTGGTTTATGGATGATATAGTGATATTGGATATTCGCAAAGGAAACTTAACAATAAAATTAGAAGTGTAGAGAAATACCATACAATTAAAAGATTTGAAAATTAGTACAATTAAAACTGTGTATGAATTCAAGTGGGCGTGCTAGAGTGGTTGTCAAGCATGACTAGAAATCATGCATAAATAAAATAAAAAAATAAAAAAGAGTATATGAAATGTAAATTTCATAATGATTTAGATCCTGATAAAATAATGGGTCACACTTTAAAACCAAATGATTATTCAAAATAATCAATTTCATTATTTAGGATCGTAATACAAAAGGACAAAGAGACAGATAGTGATATAACTAGTAGAATTGGATTAGAGCGGACAAAATAAAGACAAGTTAGTGGTAAAAGATATAAAATAGGTTAAAAAGAAAATTATATAGATACGTTATTAGGTTAACTATTCAATATAGAACCAAGTGTTGGCACTTGTGTATTGAATTGAGAATGTTAAGATGGATGGTCAAAGTGACTAAAAGAGGTAGGGTTACTAATGAAAGTCAGAGGAAAATAAGAAGTGACACCTATAAGTGAAAAAATAAGAGTATACTTGGATGGTATGAACAAAATCAACACATACAATGAAGACTTATAGATGTGTTAGTAAGATGATGAAGATTGATTTTAATAAAAGGTAAAAGACAAAGAGGGTGACCAAAACTAAAGTGGGATTAAGTAGTTCGAAATGATTTTAAAAAGTAAAATATAATAGGTGTGATGATGTGGCTGACCCCATTCATATGAATTAAGGCAAGAATGATGGTGAAGACGACCTTCTTAGTCAAGTGGACCAGTCTAAAAATAATTCAACATTTGCAGAGGTGTTAAGAAATTGAAAGCCTATCATATTAGTTATAGTAAGGTTCACAGATACATGTCTCCTACTTCCTAAACTTATCAATAATTTTAAAGTAATTTTTAATTTAAACACATATCATAATTTGGGGACAATCCTATATGTCATTAAGTGACATTTTCAGAATAGAAAGCACTCTAGTAAGAATAATGGAATTGCTTGAGATAATTCAAAAGGCTAAAACTCATAAGCATAAGCAAGAAATTTCAATTTCAAGTTCAAGTTTCATCACTTCATGCGAATAGAAGCTGAAGGTTACGTGTGTATCTGCAAGAAATTTCAAGTTCAAGTTTCGTCACTTCATGCAAATAGAAGCTGAAGGTTATGTGTGTATCCACCACCTAGTTTTCTCTACTTAGCACTATGAATTGTCATGATTACTACCAGACAATAGCCCTTACAATTGTACAAAGAAAAATATGTTTACAAGTACAGAACACATACAGAAGGCTTTAGAAGCAAGCAAACAAAGTTGCAGCAAAAAGCACCCAAAATCAACAATGAACCTATACCTACTATTTTATTAAAAACCCAACATAAAATCATATATAATAACATTAATAACCCCTTTCCCACCACCCTGAAAACAAAGAGATTGATGACAATTGTTTTATCATAAATCCCAGCAGCTCAACATCTTTGAATGACCTCCTATCCTCTCCAACAAAATACACCTCAATAAGCTAAAATGGCCAACATCCAAACTGGTCTAACTCGCTCACCTATAGAGACAATCCATGAATTAATCAGCTAAAGTACTTAGCCAAGAGTATTTGTTGTCCGTAGGCAACACATCTAACATTCGGCACCCCTTAAATTGAGTACATCAATGTACCGTTTCACCTTCATAAGGTTGTAGTACCAATTCAGTAGGTAGTCCAAGAGGTGTTAGGCTGCATAACCGTCTTTCAAGGTTACATACACTTGAACTGCAGGGGTTAAACTAAAGAAATAAAACAAGCTTAAAAATCAAACATAAAAATATAAAAAGATTTCACGGCAGCAAACTCTTCAATCAAAACATCAAAGATTATATATCATACACTAATGACTGATTCTGTAGTTTAGAAATTAATAAAATTTAATCCAAAAAAAAAAAACTTTATTCACCATTTGTTTGGCTGAGTTGATTTGCCTTTTCATTCCTTGATGAACCATAAGCAATAAAGTTTTTCTATTTAATATCCATTTTCTCAGTGAACAGACAAAGTAATCGTGGATTTTTTCCCCTATATTAAGTAACAATTGGATTCACATATAAACTCAAAATTAACCGTGAAAATGTATGATGCATCAGTAAAATAAAAGAGAGAGAGGAAAATTAAAAGAAATTAATGGCATTTTCTGATATATAGATACTTGCCGGAGACGAAAAGGTTGGTGGAGGGATCAGCCGGAGGCGGCTTTTCCATTTGGGTCATCGGCGGTGGAATGAACGGGGAAGTTGAAGTTAAAGTTGAGAAAAACCCTCTAAGCCCACGCGGTTTTGCCGCCGCCGCTACGGCCGCTCTCATGGCCATGGGATATAGATGTGTGCGAGGGTTTTAGAAATGCCCTAAACTGAAATGAACACAGGGCTTTAGTCAGATTTCTAGAGTACCGAGAGAGTTGGCACATGTATACAGATATTTACGTTGAGACTTGAGAGTTCATTTGATCAAATTACTAAACTACCCCTACACTCAGGGCTAAGCAAGTGTTGTCTTCATACTCTTCAGATGTACTTATACAAATTAACATGAGTAATATTGTCATTTGAAAGTTTGTGTGGATGACATCAGCAGTACACGGTATTGACCGTTGCTGACGGTAACAGCAAAGGGCAACGATGTTGTTACAAAATGTTGGGTGAGTTTAACTGTGTAATTACTAATTACCATGGAGGACATTAACATGACTTTTTGAGAGAATTGGCACAATTAACTTGGTTCAAATGATACTTAATTTCTTTTATAAATAAAATTAGAAGATATTGGCAATGAAAAATAATAAAAAAAATGAGATTCAAGTCAGTCTTTAACCAACTACTGAAAAGTAATGAGTTTCGTTATCATGGTATTATTCTTATATTAATAGTGGTATTATTCTTATATTAATAGATAAGATAACTGAATCTGAATCTCACGTTCCAATCTTTTCTATTTTATGTCATTTCACCTATTATATTTAGCTTTTAAAGTTAATTTTAATAACTTTATCCAGATTAACTTGACTTCTTTTATTTATCACAACATAATTGTTCTAACACTGTTCTATAAAATTTCTATTTTAAAATAATTTTTGCATCACATAATATCATATTAGCTTGTCTCTATTTTATTCAACTGGCCTAATTCTACAAGTTATATCGGCAAATATATTTATATATTTTCCATCATCTTAGATTTATCGGCAAATGATTGTGAGACGGTTTGCTTCTACACAAAAAATTATCGAGGTAAAGAACCAAGTTCCCAATGCTCTTTACAAACATAATGAAGCATTTCATAAATGTTTGTATTTGATCTTTTTGTAAGATCGTTTGCTTCTACACAATAAACTTGTGTTCTTAAAAAAAATAATAAATAAATAAAATAAAATAAAATAAGAAGAAAAACCAACAAAACTACCATCACCACCCCACTTGCTCTTTGGTGTTTGATGAGTGAAAATGTAAATCTTTAAGCACAATTTATTTTCTAAAAGGTACTGGAAGTAGATATTTAACGAGATGTAACACAGTGAAGCCAGAATGTAATTTCAATATCTTCTTAATGCTATCCCCTTACAAAAAGGGTCCAATATATCTTAATAACAAGACCAGCTTATCCAATTGAAAATGGACGCATGCTCATGGTCATGGAGATCCATCGTTCTCAGACGGGGGAGCTTGGCCACGTGGTGGTCCTGGTCTTTCGTACTCTGCAAAATACAACCCATCCATCCAAAAACTACAAAGACAACAAGAAAAAATAATCATCATAAAAAAATATATATTTAAAAATAAAAAATAAGAGGAAGGGGGCACTTCTGTAACAATTTTAAGAGTAGAAAAATGCTGGTGATATGGGGAAAACAACAGGGAATCAGAAAATCCAGTCAAAAGTACAAGATCAAAGGATAATAACAAAGAACATATACTAAAGCGTGTATCTTTTGTTTTTTCCCCATTTTCTTGTTGAGGCTATTAAAAATGTTAATGGTGTGCCTCTTACATTTCTTCCTTTCTTCTAGTTCTGGTACTATGAAATAATTGCATTCAGAATTCATACAGGAAACTCAATTTTAGAAGGACGACGTGGCAATGAACAAGTAAAATACAAAATTCACGGAAAAATAAAATGAATGAATGAATCGAATAGGCGACCTACACAACTCTAGTTGATTAGAAAGTCTATAGCAATCCCAAACAATTTTTTACAAAATCAATTGCATACTTGTTAGCACTTAGCAGACCACCATCCAGCATACTTGACCACCTAACTCTAGAAAAAAATTACATTATAATGCCTTCAAACCAATCCATTTTTGTTCCGTTAATGGGTTTTGGGTCGCTAAAGTTGAATATTTGATGGAAAGAAAGGTTCATAATTTTTATGGTCGAAAGGAGTAATTAACAAGGACAGGTTGCAGGTTGAAAAGTGCCAAAAAATAAGGAAAAAGGAGGAGGAATGCATGACATATATAGAAATCACTTGTAGAATCCTTTAAGCATCATGCCTAGGTATAGGTCACACAATACCCAACTACTTTAAAATTCTGAAAATTTCCTCTGAACTGATTTTCAATGAGCTTGAAAAAGTACGTTCGTAGGTTGCTGGACTCTGTCTACTCCAACTAGGACATAAACCTTGGACTCATAAAACCAATCTAAACCAACTAAAAAGTATATGAAATAAATAAGGTTAATGAAACTAAGACTGATAGACCCCATATAACTGCCATTATCCAGAAATCTAAAAATCATAAAAATATCCTTCAGCCCTAAATTTTAAAAAACAAAAAAATTATAAATAAATCTAAACCAGCAGTGTATGAAGTTAATGAAAACATAAAATATGAATCACCAGAGAAACTTGATTATGCAAGTCCCAGTTGAGTCCCGTCGTGAAAGTCAACAAATTTCCAAGATCTCTCACTTTTTACAATTTCTTTTCCTTGAGTTTCTTGTTGACTACATCAAGGGTTAGTTTGGTTAGAGTCAACTAGCTAGAAAGGAAAAGAAATGGAAATTTTTTAAATTATTTGGTAGTTTGGTTAGCGTGAAAGGGAAAATTTTCAGGAAAGTAATATTCCCGCAACCGGTTGATTTTCCTTAAAATGTTTCCTCTATAAAACACGCAAAAATTTCAGTTACGTGAAAGTTGTATCATCATGTGTTCCCTCGGTAGTTATTTTTCTTCCTTCTTTTTAGACTCACAAAAGAAGCGACTTCTTTTTGATAAATTAGGACTCCTATTTATATTACAACTTTCTAACTCTTTAACTCTTTAAATTAGGATTCCTAATTAAGTTATAATTTTCTGACTTTTTAAATTAGGACTATATATATATACATATGCACGCACATATATTTTTATTCATAAATCAATTATTTATATTTTTTATTATCCTTGTTGTATGATGTATTTTACTTAGTATTGAATTCATGAGGGTAATTTTGGTATATAAATCATTTTCTTTTCACTTTCTTGCTAACCAAACTAATGACACAACATTTTCCCATAGATTTTTTACAAAAAATCATGCTAACTAAATGCATGATAGAAACATAATTTTCTTTTCTTTTACTTCAGTTTCTTTTCCTTTCACTTTCCCTCATCAATTTCCGGCTAACCAAACAAACCCCAAGGATATTGTTGATAAAAAAAAAAAAATTACATGAAAAAGAGGTAAAACTTTTTTCAATATGTCTAGCATAAAGTTATAGGCCAACTTACTTTTCTTCTTCTTGCATGAGTGAGCTAGTACGTGTGTGTGTGCGTGCGCGCGCGTGATGGCCAACCTCTTGTGTAATTAAGAAAACATAAAAGTGTGTGGTCAGTTGCCAGCTCACCTGGCCATCCATGCCCTTTATACCTGCTGCAGCCTCTTCTATAGTCTCATATCTTACAAAACCATACCCCTTAGAATATCCAGATAGACGATCAGTCACTACTCTAGCTGCTACGTGCCGAGAATCAATGTTAACAATTATTAAAGAACCTTTCATAAAAAAGAATTAACTGCTTCTGTAGGAGAAGAACAGACCATCAACCACTACACCAAACTTCGAAAAGGCTTCTTTAAGTCTGTCTGAAGTAGTTCGTTTGCTAAGATCTGAAATACAGCGGAAATAGAATCTGGTCAAACTCACAGTAACTTGAGAAATTGCTACCTCACAATATTAAAAGCTATCATATACAACTCCTAAAAGAAGAAACAGTAAGATTGCCAATTTCAAGGGTTCACAAGAGCCCAAATGATTTCAAAAGTAAACAAGGCATTATATGGACATAAATTCATAACACAGTGCATGCAAGTTACACAGGGTGCTGGGAATGGACGACTGGATAGAGACAATACCTTATTTTGGACAAAGTGACTACTCTCAGACTCGAATCTACATCATCACAGTTGTTACTCGAGCTTTTACCATTGCAACAAGCAATGAGTCACATGCCTACTAATTAAATTCCATATATATATATATATATATATATTTGATCCCATGACTAAATTCTATCTGCGGACAAGAAAGGTATTAAATAAGTAAATAAACGGCCTGAAGTTGTCTGTAGAATCCATAAAATAATTACAGTAACAAAATATTTACAGAAGATTTCTTCCGTCAACTTCAAAAACCTAAACTTCTAGAAGCTGAATTGCAATTGAGAGAGGTAAAATAATCCCCTTCTTGTCTACTAATCGTGATATCACTTCCCTACTTTTATACAAATAATAAAATATCCAATATATGTATAAGAACACAAAAATATATTTCGCTCAATATGTGGTGAGACTGCTTATTTCTCCATAAAGGTAGTATTGTACAAAGGATCAGTGCTATGCCCATATTTATGTGCAATAATTTTATATGAAATAACAAAAGACTTCGAAGGAGACATTCCACCACGTTGTTTATCAATGATACAGTGATATTGGATATCCAAAGAAAACAAAACAATAAAATTAAGAACTTGGAGAAATGTCATAGAATCAAAAGAATTGAAAATTAGTAGAATTAAAACAAAGCGTATGAATTCAAGTAAGCGAGCCACAGTGGTTGTCAGGCATAACTAGGAATCATGCATAGAAAATATTAACAAAATGAGTATATGAATTAAAAATTTAACAAAGATTTAGATCTTGATAAAATAATGGTCACATTTCAAAACCAAATGATTATTCAAAATATTCACTTTCATTATGTAGTATTGGGGTGGTCCTTGGCACAATGGTAAGGTTACTCCATTGTAACCTGGAGGTCACGGGTTCAAAACCGGAAACAACTTCTCCATGCAAAGGGAAGGTTGCTTACATTTGGTCCTCCCCAGAACCCGGAATGGCAGGAGCCTCGTGCACGAGGCTACGCTGACAACACATTCATGTATTGAAATGAGAATATTAAGATGAACGGTCAGAGGGACTAAAAGAGATAGAATTACTAATGGAAGTGAGAGAAAAATAAGGAGTAACATGCATTAGTGAAAAAAATAAAAGAGAGTACACTTAGATGGTATGGACACATACAATGACTAAGAAGATGGAACCAGTTTTCATAAACGATAAGATGCAAAGGAGCGACCAAAACTAATGTGGGATGAAGTTATTATAACTGATTTTAAAAGTTATATATGATAGGTGAGACGACGTGTAATCAAAAAGAAAGGGAAAAGAGAATTTGTGTGGCCGACCCCATTCATTTGGATTAAGGCAAGGATGATGGTGATGACCTACTTAGTCAAGTGGACGTGTCTAAATAAGTAAACATTTGCAAAGGTGTTAGGAAATTGAAAGGAAATTCAAAAAAGTTACTTCAATGAGCACAAGGATTTAATATGCAAACAATCCATTTACATTGGAGTTACAACAAATAGTGCAAATAAAAAGTGAAATGATATATCTACCTAACAGGCCACAACAAAATAAACTCATCCAAGGGCTAAAAAGTACAAAATAACTCACTACAACTTTACATAACATGAATATTTCTATGGTATATTTGTATCATATCATATTAGTTAGGGTAAAGTGCAAAAAAAAAACCCTTGAACTATGCCCCATTTGCAAAACAAAAACCTGAACTACGAAATGTTGCATTTAAGGACAGATGTGACACTTGCCGTTGACAGAAAGGCTAAAAGACAAATTATCCATCTTCAAAACAACGTCATTTTGAGAATTATTCACTTAAGGATGACGTTACCAATTACAAAGCAACAACACGCCCAATCCTATCCCGTTGCTTTACAGGCAAACAAAACTCCATCTGAATGTTAAAAGATAAAAAGCCAAAATCCTTCGCTCTCCTCTCCTGGTCTTTGTCATCCCAGCTTGTTGGGCTCCTTCCTTTCCCACCCAAGGGGGACCATATGAGGGTGTAAAGCCTTCGTTCAACGCTAATAATGAAGAGCGAAAATAATAGCACCTTCCGGCGAACTCGTCCAACACAACGAATCATCGCAAAAGGAAATACTGAATCATACAAAGTTAAATAAAGCCAAACCCTACCAGTTTGGAAGAATGGAAATGAAAGGAAAAGAAAAGAATGGTAATGGAAGGAAATAAAAATTGTATTTGGTAGGAATGTTGGATGAAAAGTAAAGGAAATGGAAGGATTAGGAAGAATAGAAGTAGGCATGAATAGTAGTTTTTGTTATCCTCCCAAAAATGAAAAGAAATTGAGGGAAAGGGACGGAAATGCTAATGTATTAATGTAACTTTGTTAATACCAAATTTGTCCTTACTTTTATAAAAGAAAAACTTTATGAGAAAGGGTATGGTTGTAAATTCATTACAATAGTTTCCTTTCATTTCTTTCCCCAAACACGATTACTATCATTTCCTTTCTTTTCCTTTATTAATCAACCAAATACGATAAGCAATTAACACTATCATCTCCTTTCCTGTTTTTTCTTTTCCCCTCCTAACTAATGTTATCCTTTCTTTTCTTTTCCACTATACCAAACATAGCAAGTAACTGATTCACCATTCTTTCCTGCGACGAGATCTGAAAAACAACACACCGGTCAATGATTCACCATCTCTATATATATATCACTCTGTCATCATCTCTCTCTCTATATATATATACACTACCGCGAGATTCCAAATTTCAAGCTCTGTATTTGTTGAGACATCAACAATCGGGGCTTTTCAAGCTCTGAAAAGAACATGTGTGCCTGAATTGAATTCCACAATAGTAAATCCTATGAATTCTACCACCAATAACACAAATTTGAATCTTCCCGTTTGAAATTTTTTTGGACTTAAAGTGGCAAGAACAAGATGAACATTAAATTTGATTCTCTCATCCACCACAAGTTATAGTTCCCTAAGTAAAATGTGGACACACAATGTTCTAGTAGCAAAACGAATGGCATGTATATTTGAGGTCCAGTGAACGATTTGGAAATTTAAGTTGGGACTGTTTGGATACAATGATCATAAGAGGGGCATTAGAATCTTTTAATCTTCATAAGGGTGTTTTGGTTATTTAATGAAAAATTACCCATCACCTGATGGACATGAGAACGGAACATCAATAGAATGGGCATTTTGCAACAAAACTTGATAGTTTAGGGGGTTTTTCGCCACATTTGTAGTTCAAAGGTTATTTGCTAAATGGAGAATAGTTCAAGGGGATTCTTTTGCACTTTACCCTAGTAGTTATGATATATTTCTCAGATGCATATCTCCTACTTCCTAAACTTTTCGATAATTTTAAAATAATTTGCAATTTCAAACACATATCACACTTCAGGAACAATACTATATGTCTAGAACATCATTAAGTGACATTTTCAAAACAGAAAGCAAACTTGTAAGAAGAATGGAATTACTTGAGATAATTCTAAAAGCTCAGACTCACAAGCATAAACAAGAAATTTCAAGTTCAGGTTTTGTCACTTCATGCAAAAAGAAGCTGAAGGTTACGTGTGTATCCACCACTTAGTTTCGCTTCTCAGCACTATGAATTGTCATGATTACCACCGGACGATGGCCCTTGCAATTGTAACAACAAAATTATTTTATGAAATTATGAGTACAGAACACATGCAGACAGCTTTAGAAGGATGCAAACCAAGCTGCAGCTAAAAGCATCCAAAATCAACAATGAACCAATTATTCCTACTATTTTATTCAAAAACCCAACATAAAATCATGCAATAACAACAATAACCCCTTTTCCACCACCCTGAAAACAATCAAAACAAAGAGATCAATGACAACTGTTTCATCTTAAATCCCAGCAGCTAAACATCTTTAAATGACCTCCTATTCCTCTCCAACCAAATACACCTCAATAGGCTAAAAGGGCCAACATCCAAACTGGTCAAACTCGCCTATAGAGGCACCCATGAGGGCATGAACGAATCACCTAAAGTACTTATGGCAAAGTATAATATTTGTGGCCCGTATACCAACACGTTTGATGTTTTTTTTTTTTTTTTGATAAGTCAACACATTTGATGTTCGGCAGCTTTTAAATTGAATGCATCAATGTACCGCTACACTTTCATAAGGCTACAGTGCCAATTTAGTAGGTAATCCCAAAGGTGTTAAGTATGCAGTCAAAACATCAAAGATAATATATCATACACAAATGACTAATGTTTTTGTTTAGAAATTAATAAATTCTAATCCAAAAAAATAAAAATTTATTCACCATGTATTTGACTCAGTTGATTTGACTCTTCATTTCTTGATGAACCAGAAGCAACATTTTCCCTTTAATATCCATTTTCTCAGTCAACAAACAAAGTAGAAATTAACAACGGGATTCACAGATTAGCTAAAAGTTAACCATGAAAAAGTATGATCAATAAAACAATAGTAACGTTGAGAACTAAGTAGAAATTAAAACAAGATTATCAATAACATATTGAAGAGAGGAAAATCAAAGAAATCAATGGTATTTTCGGATACATAGAGACACTTACCGGTGACCAAAAGTTGGGTGGAGGGTTCAACAGGAGGCGACCGGGACGGAACGAACGTTTGAGTGCAGAAAAGCCTTCTAAGCCCACGCGGTTTTACCACCGCCACCGCTGCTGCTCTCATAGCCATAGGGGGTTAAGCTCCTCCCCAAACCTAACACACAGCTTAGATGGATTTCTCCCACACACACACACAGTGTGGCGAGATGCGTGCGAGGGCGTTTAAATAATGAGAGAGTTGATAGTTCATTTGATCAAATTGATTAACGGATTAAACCTTATCCAATTAATAAAATTTGTTTGATAAAGCAATTTATATATTACTAAAAAATAGTACTGTAATTTTAATATAAAATGTGGGTAAAAAATTACTACGTATGTTACAAAAATATCATTTTATCACTCAATGATAAAAGTTAAAAATTAAAAAAAAAAAAAATTATTTATTTTAGTTATCACTTAAAAACTTCAATTATTAAGATTAGGTTTTTAAAATTTTATTATTATTATTATTTTCTCCAAAGTTTAAGCAAATTTAAATTGAAATAAGGTAGGCCTTTGACCAAAAGAGGACAAAGAAGGCAAGCCCAACCCCATTGTCACATAGACACCTTAATTTAATTTCAAGCTAAATCAGAATCGAATCCATTCTAATTGTTTCTGACAATTGGGTTCGATTTCAAATCAAGATTCTTTTTTTCTTTTTCTTTTTTTTTAAAGAGTAGGCAAGCCCAAGCAAAGTCCAACCCCATTGTCATACAAATAACTTAATTTGACGGACTAAAATAGTATGGTCTGATTTAGTATAATTTCAAGCTAAATCGGAATCGAACCCATTCCAAGTGGTCCTGCTATTCCAACAAATGAGCAACAAGAAAACTTCTAAACTAAAAGATAAAATATATATATTAATTTAAAATCAAATGGCCTATTGTCCTTTTTTTTCGAAACAAATATGAAATTTAAAAGTAAAAACTCATTTAAGGATAGTTTTATCTTTGTGCATGGTAACAAAAGTATATTGTCGAGTACTTGTGTTTAATTTTATCTATGTAATACGAAGTATATGTTATATTATTGTTTATTAATACCATAATATATGTCTGTGTTTGTGGGTGTGTATTTTTTGCTGTGCAGGTGTGTAATTTTATCTCTGTGAGACTCTGACAAGGTACCGGAAATCACTTATACGGCTATGAGAGCAACTCAAGTGCTTTGGATGGATCGAGGAGTCAACCTTTTGAGAAGAGCATGCAACGTTATACCTATGGCCTCAGCCAGCTGATTTTGAAAGCTAGAGAAAGTGTTCAGTGGTTTGTTTGGCCTCTGTGGCTAGTTAAAGTCTCTGAGGCTGAATAATATAAATGAAGAAATCTATACAAGGGGATAACAGAAACACTTGTAGCATGAGCTTCATAATCTGAGATTAATTCATATTCGAAATTTTTAACCAGGTATAGAAAACCGAATTGAAAAGCAAGTAGGCCATGAAAAAATGACTTACAAAGTCATAATGAGACTACCCACAGATTAATCTTTCAAGGGTTATTATTATACAAGAAATCAAAATTTAAAGAATGGAATTTGAAAATGAATCAGAATCAAAATCAAAATTTATAACACCACCATCGTACCACCATCGTTCGTGTTTGATGAGTGAAAAATGTATATCTTTAAGCAAGAATGTAATTTCAATATCTTCCTTTTGCGTACCCTGCAAATATTTAAACCATCCATCCAAAAACTAAAAAGACAACAAAAGGAAACAGTTTAAGAGTAGAAAAATGCTGGAGATCTGGGAAAACAACAGTGACTCAGAATCCCCATAACTTGTCAAAAGTACAAGATCAAAGGATAATACTAATAAAGAACATATAGTAAAGCGTGAAACTTTTGTTTTTTCCCATTTTCTTGTTGAGGCTATTAAAGATGTCAATAGTGTGCCTCTTATGTTTCTTTATTTCTTCTAGTTCTGGTAATAGGAAATGATTGCATTCAGAATTCATACAGCAACACTCTATTTTAGAAGGACGACATGGCAATGAACAAGTAAAATACAAAATTAACGAAAAAAGAAAATGAATTAAATAGGCGACCTACAAAACTCTAGTTGACTAGGAAGTCTATAACCTTCCCCAAACAAATGTTTACAAAATCAATTGCATACTACTCAGCAGACCCACCATTCAAGCGTACTTGACAACCTAACTCTAGACAAAAATTACATTTTAATGCCTATAAACCAATCCATTTTTGTTCAGGTAGTGGGTTTTGGGTTGCTAAGGATGAATATTTTGATGGAAAGAAAGGTTAAAATATAATCTTTACAATCTAAAGAAGCAAATTAACAAGGATAGGTTACAGGTAGCAAAAGTGCCTAAAAATATATGTCCTAGAAATAACATGTAGAATCCTTTAAGCATCATGCCTAGGTAGAGATCACACAATACCAAACAACTTCAAAATTCTGAAAATTTCACATGTAGAATCCTTTAAGCATCATGCTATGGAGTATTATTATGCAATTCAAAACACAATTTTCTAAAGGAGACCTGTGCAAATCAAGTAAAATTCACAGCATTACAACTGCAACGCCCATAATTAATGATCCACGTAATTTAAAGAGCACTTCAGATTAAAAACCATGTCAATAAAACAATCAAAACAACACTGGCAATAATAGTTCCAGACAAAACTTACTATATCTTCTATCCTCCTAATCACCGCAATGTTGCAAGTAAATATTGGACTGAAACACAGTTTAAGGAAAGAACATAACAAAGATAAAGCCACCATTGTTAAATCTATCTAAGCCTTATCAGCTTTGGCAGCAGTAGCAGCAGCTTGTCCACGGAGACGACCAGTCCTCCTAGCAGCAATAAGACCAACCTTTTGCCCGGGTGGTGCATCACGGCGAACAGTGCTGGCGTGACCAATATGTTGGTGGTTACCACCACCATGAGGATGCTCCACAGGATTCATGGCCACACCACGGACCTTTGGCCAACAGTTCCTCTTAACCCTGAACTTGTGATATGCGTTCCCAGCCTTGAGCATGGGCTTCTCAGTACGCCCTCCTCCAGCAACTTGGCCAATCATGGCACGACAGCCACTAGGAACAATCTTCTTTGATCCTGATGGGAGTTTGATCCTATCAATAGAACAATTATGTGTGAAACCAAAAAATTATGTCAAGATTGTAATATCATCAAACATAGAGATTAGAAACAATGATATCAGGAAATGATGAATTTCAACATATCCAACCCAAACAAAGAAAACAGTAAAGTAAGCAAGACAACCTTTTAAGAAACATCAAAATTAAGATGTAAAAGATTGCTTAGTATATCCCAGAGCTTGATGTATTTCATGATATGGAATATTTAAAAAAAAAATTAATAATAAAACAACAACAACAACAACAACAACAACAACAACAACAATACTTGCCCATTGGTGTTTGATGAGTGAAAATGTAAATCTTTAAGCATGATCTATTTCTAAGTGGTACTGAAATGCAAAATATATGAAGCAACAGTGTAATTTCGAAAAAAATATTGAAACAAAAAAGTAATGTAAGGTAAGCATTAAAATTTTTGAAGTAATACTTGCTTGTTGGTGTTTGATGAGTGAAGGATTTACATAGAAAAACTTTAGGCACAATCAATTTTCTGAATGGTATCGGGAATTTGATGTTTAACAGAATGCAAAATGTGAAGCAGAAGTACACTTTCAAAATCAAGGATTTCACACCAAAAAAAAGTAAAGTAATGCGAGGTAAGCAGCTATAATTTTAATGTCACATGAAAACATACCAATAAAGTATTCATGTAAAGCTTCCATATGGACCATATGTATAATTTACATAACAATATTTACATATGTATAGAATGCATAAAATTTGACAAGCATATAAGAAACACACTTAACAATTAATCAAGAAAGAAAATCCACCATAGCAATCAAATGTGATCTAAGCCACCTAATTCATATATCCTCTGTTACACCATCAAATAACATCTATTAACAATAAATTATAGAACCTCCATTCCCATATTCATATGAAATGCAATAAACTGTTACAGTGACGGATGCAGATCAACGAGCACTGAAGTGGATTCCCCTATAAGCAAATCAACTTACAGGAAACAAAAATATGTGCAAAGATATAACACCGATTCAATAACAGAGCCAAAAAAATGGCGCCAATATACATAATGTGGTATTTTGTGAAATCTACAAAGCAAGGCGTCCAATTGTGCAGCGATAAAGAGAACAAGTAATTCCCGTTATCACACAGATCTAAACACAGATTAAAACTGAAAAAAATACGCCAAAAGTTACAAAAAATTCAGCCGTACAAACAGATCAACATATTCTAAACTCAACAGCCACATCAATTTTCTATAACACTAAATGAAATAAGATAAACAAACAATCCCAAAAACATAAATTACATAAATAAGCAACAAAAATGAACATTAATATGATATATACATATACATCTGTGTGTGAACTTTATACTTCATAGAAACGAAGAATTTGTGTTATACCTTGATGTTCCATTATCTGGGTTATGACTTATCACAATAGCATAGTCACCAGAAGCCCTAGCGAAGACCCCACGATCACCCACATGATGTTCGACGTTGCACACAACAGCACCCTCGGGGATGGATCTGAGAGGAAGGACATTACCGACCATGAGATTGGCCTTCTTGCCGCAGTACACGAACTGACCGGTGTACATGCCCTCGGCGGCGACAAAGAGCTCCTTCTGGTGCTTGTATCGGAAGGGATGGCGGAAGGTGACGCGGGCCAAAGGGGCACCCCGACCCGGGTCGTGGATGATCTCTGTGATAACGCCCTTGAGGTAGCCGTTGCGCTCGCCGAAGTCGAGGCTTCGGAACCTGGCCGGTCCTTTGCGGTGATGGGTGTGAGACTTGAACACTGAGCCTGCACCCTTACGCTGAGCTCTGATCACACGACCCATCTCTCTCTCTCTCTCTCTCGGTTTGGGGGCGGCAGGGAATGGAGAGGCGGAAATGAGACGAGTTTGTATGTATATAGGGTTTTAGAGAGAGAGGAGGTGATTAGGGTTGCCCTAGGTTTTGTTTGGTTGAGAGGAAATTTGTGGCCCGGTTTGTGTTTGGTGAAGTGTGAACTTATTTCTCGGTTAGAGTAGGGATAGGAATATAGGACATGGCAAACAGTAAATAAGGGTGTTCTTTTAATAATTATAATTGTTATTATAACGATGGTCTAACTATTAAGATTTTTTTTTCTTCTAAATTTCTAATTTTGCTTGTGATTTAATTTATTTTCTTAAAAAATAATGTTTAACAAAATTTAAAAATTACTCCAACTACAATGCTTGCTAAGATGAGTTAGGGTTTGAAATATAAGTGGAGTACTAATATCATCTTTATTTGTAATGATGTATCATGCTTGTAAGTTTTAAAATTGGGTATGGAATCTTATGATATAGTCTTACACTCTATTGATTTGTTTTATTTTTTTAATAAAATAAATGACATAAATAATTTATTCAAAAGTAAACTGTAAGAGCACTTTTTTTAGATAACTTTGCAGTGTAAAAATATTTTTGAAATTTTGTGTAAACGTGTATGTATATATATATATATTTATTTATTTATAATTAAAATACATTTACACACCCATAAGTGTCTTTATCTCCTCATCATTCCGCCTAAAGATTAAAAGAAAATTTAAGATGATTGATGAATGTCAATGGTGTGAAGAGAAAAACAGAGTTACTGTGCTGCGAGGGAGATAGCAGTTGTTGTGAACTAAGGAGAGAAAATCAATTGTGGTAGGAGGTTTGAGGTCTCGTGATGAGTGGTTATGATTGAGGCGTATATTATGAATAGATATAAGTAATTACATGTGTGTGCCCTGGTAGAAGGAGCACTCGTGACCACCTTGTGGGTACTTTGCATGAGATACTCATTGTTCGATTGAGTCGGCCCTTTAGTGTGTGTGTATATATATCTATCGATTATGTACATCTCGCATGAGTTAACTAGGGATGTATCGTTCATCAAATCTCTGTTTTGGTTGTTGTAGAAAGAACTTGTTCGTTACATTTGATATATTTTTTTCAGGTCCTGGTCAGTAGTAGGCTTAGAGGTTGTTCGTACAAAATACAGATTACTATTCGTCACTATTCCAGTGTCATTATAGGATTCTTCATCACGTCTTTATTATTCAGCGTTAGACATTTATTATTATTTTCAACAACAAGATTTTATTAAGAATTCCTGAATTGTATTATGGAGGATTATTTACAGTTGGAAATTGTTGGATTTATTCAAAAAATTATTTATTTATTATTTAGTTTCCATTTTTAGTGGTATTATTTATTCCGTTTATATTCTGTGTTTAGTTTAAAATATTAATTTGTTTTGGCAAGGACTTGATCAACCGCGTTCCAAAATTGGGGGTATCAATATATATATATATATAAGATCAATGAATATAGGGATAATTACACTGACCTCCCCTGAGGTTTCGTCAACCTACACTAACCTCCCCTCTTATTTGTCATATTACACTTACCCCCCTAACATGCATATAAGATGGATGACGTTAATGGAAAAAGTACAATTACTAATTTACCTTTTGTCCACTCTCTCTCTTTATAATAACATCACGGTACGGAGATGAACCCAGTACAATCTGGTGAAAGCCATAGTGGCGACCGCTCTGCGACTTCATATATATATATATATATAAATCCACATACATATACTGAGAAGTTCACCTTACATGTGTATAGCTTTGCGAAGTTCCGGTACCTTGGCATAGAGTACAAAAACAATCCATTTACAGTAATAATTGGGAGCTTCGAGTATCAGCAAAGATGGAAATCTTGTTCTACAAATCTTAGATAATGGGAATTTTGGTTTAGAAAAGGAAATGTGTTGAACACCAAGTAAAGTGACTTGGGCCACCTGGCTTAGTGTTAAAAGCAACTTACTGAGTTTTGGAACTTTTGTTTTAAACTTGGATCAAGTGCAAAAAACATCCATATACTATGTTTACAGTGCACATTGCACCCCTCCCGTACAAAAAAAACACCCCTAAACTATGACATTTGTGCAAATAGGTCCTATTTATACAAAATGGACCAAAATGCCCTTAGCAACACATTTTATAATATATATAAAAAATATATATTTTGTGAAATGACTTAAAAGGGTTTGGCCCTTCATCTTCGGAACACTGTAGAAGACTCGTCATCTCTTCAGTGAGTTGCAGATCGGTTGGTGAACAAGCACTCCAAGTTGTCAAGACCCACTCCAAATAATCCCACAAGAACTCCAAGTTGTTATTACCAGCAACTAGCCCAAATAATCCCACAAATTTTGGAAGGTTGCAAAACTCTATTAACAGCACTACTTTTCTGGTCTAAAGGACTAGACTGAGAATTGAATAATATAGTCACTAGTCATAGTGGAATATTTCTTTTTATTTATTCATCGGTATTAGGGTTGGTGTTTAGTGGACTGAAATTTGACCGGAGAATGATAGAATGACAACAATAAACTAGAGACCCAATTCTAAAAAAAAAAAAAAAAGAGACAATAAACCAGAGAAATTTGATCAATAATACAACGGCTTACGGGTCGAATGAACGACTCTTCCTCAAATTGCTCTTTGTGATTCGACGGATGTGGATCTATCGAGCGGAAAGGCTGGGCTTGGATGGGCACGACGTCACCAGAGCGGCTAATTGGGCACATCCACAGCGCATTGCCGGAATCGTCACCGGAATGGGCAAGCTCACGGCCGAACCAGTCCTTTCCACAACCTATCACCGGAATCGCTGTTCCTTGCCATCGCCACCACCAGCCGAGATTCCCCCTTGCTCGCTGTAATATCCCTAATTTTAAAAAGGATATTCCTGATATTTAATGGTATTTAATTTACTATTTAAGTCCATTTTATTTGATTATGTGTCATTATTTTTTTATTAGGTGCTTAATTGTTTTCTTTTGTGGTGATTTAATTTATTTAAATAATATATTTTTTTAGTTATTTGATTGGAATTACTTGTTAGTGTTTTAATTATTTAATTGGCATTAATGGTTTAAGTGTAATTGGTTTAATTATTCTATGTGTGTCTTATTTTATGTGTGTCTTATTTGGTTTAATTGGGTTTACTAATTATTATTTATTAAGTATTTAATAGTGAATAGGGTAATTAGGTAAATACATCTAACTAAGGTTTCAATTACAGTATAAATTAGGGTTTTATATTATAGTTGTCGTAGGTTTCTACGTTAATTGGATGGGCCGGTTAGGATTGTGAGTTGGATTTAAATGAACCTAGGGTTTAGGAAAACTCTATAAGTATAAAGTAGACGTCTGTGTAGGGTTTTTTTTAAACAATGCACACGTTTTGTGGAAGTGGAGAAGGAAAAATGCAGTTTTTCACATTCTGCCAAGGTTTGATCAAAGCTCTGATCCCACTTCGTCCGTGGTTAGATCGAGCTGAAATTTGGAGGAGAGGTTCATGACTCAGTGATGCACAATCTGAATGGTGGAGATCAGAGTTTGACCTCGGGAACAGTGATTCGTACTCGTGAACAGTAACCGGGTTGCACGGTTTTTTTCCATTCTGCCCAGATTTCATCAAACATCCGATCCCGCTTCGTCCGTGGTCCGATCGAGCTGAAATTTGGAGGAGAGGTTTACGACTCAGTGATGCACAATCTGAACGGTGGAGATCAGAGTTTGACCTCGGGAACAGTGATTCGTACTCGTGAACAGTAACCGGGTCGCACAGTTTTTTCCATTCTGCCCAGATTTCATCAAACATCCGATCCCGCTTCGTCCGTGGTACGATCGAGCTGAAATTTGGAGGATAGGTTCATGACTCAGTGTCGCACAATCTGAACGGTGAAGATTAGATTTTGAGTTCGGGAATAGTATTTCATACCCGTGAACAGTAACCGGGTTTTGGAACTCGCCGGGATTTTTTTTTAGAAGACGACGTTGAAACTTTGAACAAAAGTTTCTGAGGCAAGATTCTATCCTTACTCTTTCCCTTAGGCTTCATACTCTTTGCACTCTTAAATGATTCCAGGATTAATGAAGATTAAACCAAACTAAAATGATATTTGTTTTGCTATGAAACTGGTAGTTACAGTAGTGTTATATGCTTGTTCAACCTAGACTAAGCATGTTTGTGGATGAATTGTGGTTATGTGGTTCACGTTTTTCCTTACCACTGCTAGTATAAATTATTGGAAGGATGGGTCTAGATGATAGCTATCTTAACTTCTGTAATAGAAACTGTTGGAACTTAAATACTATGAGGATTTGAGTTTAACACTAGATTGGTTTTGTGGAACACTATAATTTGAGCATGTCTACATACATACTGTGAATATTGTTTTGATGCTTACATTATCATAGTTAGTATCAACTGTGGAGGTTAGGATTTTGTGATACATACCCTACATATCTGTATGTCATTTGTAAGGTGTTAAATAGAAGTTTTAATAAATTCTGTCTTTATATCAGACTAAATGGAACAACTTAAATTGGGCATGTATATATTGTTGTTGTGACCCTGTTTATCAATACTTATTTTATGACTGCTAACATTGAATGTTGGATGTTGGAATTTAGTTGATATATACTTGATTCTTTGGTATTATTGACTACTGGAGGATTGGAAAGTAGGCACCGGTATGGGACGGTGGCATACTAAGGATGGGTTTGGTTTTTAAAAGAATACCATTACCCACCTACTTGGAATAAGGATGGGATTAACTAAAAGTTAAGTCCCGTGGATTTGTATTGTCATGGCAACTACTTGTTGAGTGGCAATACCAGGGATTTTGGATGGATTTTATATATGTACTGTTATGGTGCCTCGGCATGAGTTTGAGCCTCAGGACCGATGGCTAGGGAGCGTATATGCATCGGGATGTGTAGCTGGCTACGATGGTTGGAGGTGTACCCTGTTTAGGTATAGGTACATATGCCCACTTCGTGTGCGTTTTAGCATGTTACCTCTATTCAGGTTGAGACCGGCCTGTAGTCCAGTGAGAGTCCTTTAGTGTGACTATATGTATATTTATGGACTATTAGCTATTGTTGAATTGTTTAGGATGTACATGCGTATCGGGCCTCTATTTGGATTGTAGTAATATAGAACTTGTGCGTGGGCCTGACCCACTTCTATTTTTCAGGTACACGACAGTTCCAGGCTAAGACGTGTTCGTGCTGAGCAGAGGTCTCTATTCACTCTTCCGACGATGTAGGGCTCTCTCTATAGTTTTATTTCTGGACGTTTATTACATTTATTCTATCTTCCGTTTGGATGTTTAATAGGGGTCCACTAGAGATGGATTCCTAAGTTGTAAACTGATGGAGTTTTGGAGTTTGGGTTTGATGGATTTTAATAATTATAATATTTTGCGGATTCTATTTTTAGTTCCTTCCAGCTTTAATTTCATTTTTTAATTTATTTTTGTATTCCGTGTTCATTATAAAATATTAATTGTTTGATATTCCCTCGGGTTTGGGCCTGGGCCTGATCAACCCGTGTCTCGGATCCGAGGGGTATCTCATTCGCCGGCCACTGTTCCAAGCTCACTGCCCTCGCAATTCGTGAACCGCCACTAGTTCTGTCAGTCAGCCGAGCTCGTCGCGACCGTTCTGCCCTTTTGAGAACCATTTTGCTCACCGGTCCACATTGCCAGATCCGTCACCACCTTGCTCGCCTGTCCCAGCCGGATCTATCTCGCCAGCGCACTGTCGCAGTTCTTCGTCACGGCCGTTTAGCCATCCTTGTCGGCCGATTCTGTCCCGTCGTCCATCTTCGCTGCTGTGTTGTTCCTTCAAGCTAGCCGCTACCCCATCCACATCTCCACCGAAATCCTTGCTTTCTGGATTTTTTTGTTTGGTATTTAGGACATTACAAAGAAAAAGAAGAAGAATAAGGTTAGTTTGGTATGACAATTTTGGAAGAGTAAAAAGGTAAAATGGACATTATATTAATTGAAGGGTGGTTTTGCACAAATTTAAAAGAATAATGGTGTTTTTTGCACACTTTTTTAAATAGGGGTTAAAAGTGCTATGAAATGTATACTTCAGGAGTCTTTCTTGCACTTATCCTTTAAAACTTCTTACCAGATAAGAAACACACAGAGTCACACACACACACACACATATTAAGTTACGGTGAGCACTAAATTCCTAGTTGTCTTAATGGAAAGTTGTTGATGAAAAAGGATGATTCTTTCCTTTGTTGATACCTGTTAATAACCCATTATTCTATAAACCTCATTGTTGATTTTATGAGTCCATGATTTGACCATGTGGAAGGAAAAAAAAACTTAGACACAGAGACAATAATTAATCAAGCGATGCCCAATGATTCATTTATTTCTTTAATTTTCTGTATACTTTGGAACCCAACAACAACAATTGAATAAGTAAGAGATTAATATGCAAACAATAGAGAAATTAGTAAAGAAAATCAACAATAATATTTGAATTCCTGTTGAAGAGTTTATTCTAACAAAAATTCAGATTGACCATCAAATCAGGGTTTAATCTGAAAATGAGAAAGCAGAACTCCATCTGATTGAGGACTCCATCACCGTCAAAATCGTCTTTTTTCAACATACTCATCAGATCACCATTTGTCAAGTCTTGCAAACCCAACAGGTCAGAGTTCCTCTTGAGGCTCTCGAACGTGATGGCCATTATCACCGTCCATCAACAATTGATACCCATTGCAGAGTTCTTTGATCAAACCGTCCCCACCCAATTTATAAGAGAGAGATGTGGATTTATATTGAATTGAAACTCGTCGATTTCGGTGAAGATGATGGTCACCCAAACCGAAGCTCACAAGGGTAAAATGGGAATTTGATAAATAAAAAATTGCTAACATCATCATTTTTCGTCAAAAAATAGTATTTTTCGTTAAAAGAGGGGAGCTCTATGTTATTTATATACAACCCTCGAGGGAGGTAAGTGTAATATAGCAAACAAGAGGGAATGTCAGTGTAAATTGACGAAACTTCAAGAGAGGTCAGTGTAATTATCCCATGAATATATGGAAGTTCATTATTATTTGTTATTTAATTTCTTATATGGGTAGTTTAGGCATTTCAAGTGTTAAATTGACATAATATCGCGTTTAACCCTTATAAATATTAGTAATATATAATTGATGGGCAAAATTATAAAATTACACAATTTAATTACTAAAGTAAAAGGCCGTCACAGTGAAGGGTTTTAGTGGAATATTGAAATATAAAAGGGGTGTAAGTGGGATATCGCAGCTGTGTAGGTGGAATTCACCAAAATAAAAATAAAAATAACATAGCCAACCACCGCCGTTTTGGATGCCCTGATCTGGTCCGGTTTGCCCATACCTTATAACCGTGTACGTATAGTTTTATCATCAATGTATATCACACCCTATCACGCAAACGATGTCGAAAGTACATATATAGTTTCTCTGAGACATTAGTCGAACACCTTTCGCTGTTTTTGGCTCACTCCTTTATTTTCCCTCCATTCATGGTCTCTGTTTCAAACTGAAAAAAAAACTTTCAATCTCGTATATGGTGTTAAGAACGTCTCTCTTGCACGAAATCAAAAGTTCAGAGATTGTTTCAAAGATAAGAACTTGATTTCATCTTCAATCTTGTGTGTTGATTTTACGCCAATCGGATATGAAGCGAGGTTACGACGAATCTTCATCATCCGCTTCTCTTGGACCGCCTCAATCCAGATTCAGATACAATCCAGAGGGTAATTTTCATCTTTCTGTAAAACCCCAATTTTCCCTTGTTCTAATTTGTGGATTTCATCAAGCAAATATTAATTATTTGGCTAATTTACTATTTTTATGGTCATGGGATTTCGAATTTAGAAAAACTACTATCCGTTTGGTTGCTGAGATAGCAGTATATACTGAAAAAATGGATTTTTATTTTATTATTATTTTTTTTTATGACACGTAAATTTGTTGTTTTATAATTAATTTGGTGCACCAGGTGTTAAAAAACGAGAAAAAGTAACATTAAGATGATACATTTTAACAATCTATTATTTTGCTGCATTTTTCTAAGCCAAAGAGCGTTGCTTTATTTGTGTTAATCTGTTCAAGTGATTTGTGTTACATATACAGAAGACTCACGATTTTTAGAGGACGACAGTACAGTTTTTGCCCGGAAAGTGGCTGACCATTACAGTGCGAGAACCAATCAAACTCTGGAAGAGAGAGCAGCTAGTCCAATTATACATTTGAAGAAACTCAACAACTGGGTATGTCTTGCAATTCCCTGGAACCTTCTGTTTCCCAATTTCATTTATGATTATATAACGTGTTTAAGTTGTTCAATATTTTATCAATTAATTTTCTTGTTGAGCAGATTAAAAGTGTCTTAATTCGGCTTTATGCATCCCGAGGGGATGCAGTTATTGATCTTGCTTGTGGCAAGGTATTTTAGGTCCCTTGCGCCAAATAAATTGGCAGTTTTCTTTTTACTATGTATTTATGCATATGTATATAATGCTCAATTGAAACAAAATATTTTTGTTCTTCTCTCATGTTTTAATTAGGGCGGTGATCTAATCAAATGGGACAAGGCAAAGATCAGATATTATGTTGGCATTGATATAGCTGAAGGATCGGTAAAGTGCTTTAATATTCAACTTTGGTTGTTTAACTTTTTTCCACGTACATTGTGCTGGATTTGATTGTGATTTAATGTGTGATAGAATTTCTTTCAGGCTGTTTGGGCATTCATTGTTCTACTTACATTTGGTGAAATTTTCTATATTAATTTGTTGGGACTTTATCTTCATCAATATGATATTATTGTGTAATGGACTTCTCCTATGAATGAACACACAAAAGCTTTTTCTAACAATTATTCCATAATTTTGTGCCATGTGTGGCCACATTTTTACAGTGCACAAGTTTTTTTGTATAGAACACTTGTATGAAATATTTAAAAAAGTTTTCAACAGTCACACATTTAAGCAGGTTGAGCATTCCACATGAAATGGGGAGGCTCTTGATGCCCATATATCACTTAAACTAGTGTTTTTTATTGGCCAGTAAATCAGTATATTGCACCATGTCACTACTTGGTGCAATGGTAAAAGTTTGGGCAGTTAAATGTAAAAAATTAAGTGCAATATGTGAAACACTGCAAAAAATAGGTCAATATCCAATCCATCCCTTCCACCACTCTGCATAGGTGGGACCAACACTATGTAATGGTCCCTGTTGCCGCTGTCCCAAAATCCACTTTTCTTACTTCTACTTTATCCTCTTTAAGATTCATTATTACCTCAAATGTCCATTATTTCTGGCGTTGATGAAGGCATTTTGATTTCATTTTCCTCTTCTGGAACTGATGGTCAGTAATTTTGGGTGAGGTACTGCCAAAATCTAGACAAGGTGCAGAACTAATGGATTTGGTATACTGGTCAGTAGTAGTCTCCAATCAGTCCGCCACTACGATGAGATGACAATTTGTAACCAATGAGAGAGCAAACATGGACCAAAATTTATGGAAATCTGGCATGGAAATTTTAGAAGGCCATTACCTAGTGCTCCTCCTGCCAAAGTGTGACCCTTGGAAGAATAGATCAGATTGTATATATGAGATGAGTGAATGTAAAAGTCTCCAGTATGTGCAAGTGCAACGATGTTAAGTCCCATCAGTGATTTTATTTATTTATTTTTATAAAAGTGCATTTGTTGTACATCATTTCACACAATGGGAAAATATAAATTTAACTTTCCCTTGTCATATCTTCTACCTTTAGCCTTGAATGAAGCCTAATGCTACGTGTATCAGCTTTCTCAAAATTCCTGCCTTCTTGAATTATATTTCTCTGTTTTTATCCCCTTTTTGTTATACATAAGTGTCAACTTTTGGAAATCTATATTTGTCAAGTGATAGATTGTTTGTTTCATTGTACAGTGATAAGTCTTCGTAGTGCGCAGTGACCTTTTTTTGTTATCTGAATTATTTCTCAACTGTTTTTGCTGTTACATGTTTGTTATATACAGATAGAAGACTGTCGTATGCGCTACAATGGTGATGCAGACCATCATCAGCGGCGCAAAAAATTCACATTTCCTGCCCGACTTATATGTGGAGATTGTTTTGAGGTAACTGGAATTACAGAAGTTAATTTATGTGACTTTTTCGAGCATTGGAGATATCGATTTTTGTTTCAGTTTTTATTTTTCTCCACATTTTTCTGGCTGGAAGTTAAAAGACAAGTTATGGAGAATGTAAGAGCTTTACCTAGGGAAAGGGAGGAAACTTCCCTCTTATGTTGTTTGGTTATTGCAGAACGGAAATGGGAAAGAAGGAAGGGGGGTATTGAGTGATTTGACCATGGACCAAAAAGGGGAAGAAAAATGCTTCCCTCCCCTTTTCCATCCACTTATGTGCAGGAACAAAAGATGCAGGGAGTGAGAGCTCCTCCCTCCTCCCTTCATGTCCCCATTTCTTTACCATTTACCAAGCAGGGAGGAGCACCCTTTGTTTCCCCCTTTTTCTCCCCTCTTCCTTCTCTATATCATTTTACCCAATGGATTGGTATTATCGAGGATAAAATTACCTTGAAACCACCGATGGTATGAGATACTTTGGTTATTGTAAAAGTGCTTTATCTACAGATCAATGGAAGTAATTCTGAATCCTATTTTGTGTTGATGAATATCAGGTTCCCTTGGATAAAGTTTTGGAAGATGATGGACCTTTTGATATTTGTAGTTGCCAGGTGAGTCATTCTCTTGCAGTTGACACAACAAAGCAAGTGTCGTTTTTCAATTTGGATTATCAAATATTTGATCTAAAATATCTTAATGTTGTTATCAAAAATCAACATTAAGTTTTTAGTTATAGTTATAATGTTGTTATCTTAATATCTTAATGTTGATCTAAATTATAGTGTACTTTGTCAGTCTTTGAAACTGTTATTTTGCTGTTTGATTGTTATTTTTAGTATCAATTCTAATTGTTATGTGGAAATTATTACAAATAAAAGCACATCATTTAAAATAGCCAACAAGCCATTGTTTGTCTTCATTGGGTTGATAATTGTTTGAAGATTATTGACCTTGGGGATTCTTATAATCTGTTACAGGAACTGATATCGCTTGCTATAGTATGGTTTCCTTGATATAGAAGTACGAGGTCTGTTCAACTTTTAAATGTCTTTCTAAACTATTTTCTAGTGGAATTGTTAGTGTCAATCCCTTTTTCCTCGATAATTTTTATGAAATTCAGAATCTTACTCCTATTTTGTAGACTTTCTGCTGGTGTTGATGTTATATTGGTTCCCTTAGTATTATCACTCAGTCTAATAGGTTATAAAGGTTCTGTCTAAAAATTGATTGTATGTTTTCAACTGCTTTCATTAAATTGGCTCCCTGTGTTTCTGTGCTTGAATTTCCATGTACTCTTGGTTATCCAGTGAATTGTGCAAAATATGGGTATCAATTGATTATGATTCTTCAAGATTCAGAAGAATATGGTTGTAAATCATCAATACTTGAAATTTTGCAGTTTGCCATGCATTACTCATGGTCGACTGAGGCACGTGCAAGACGGGCCTTGGCCAATGTATCAGCATTACTTCGTCCAGGTGGCATCTTCATTGGGACAATGCCAGATGCCAATGTTATCGTTAAAAAGCTCAGAGAAGGTTTTATTTTTTATTTTATTTATATTTTCCTTCTATGAATAAATTAGCATTTTGAGTGTCAGCTCACTTATCTGAAGTTCTTTTGACAATTGACGTAATTTCCTTTTATTGTCTTCTTTTAGTTCTTATTTTTACACTTCCAATTTTCAAAAAGTAATTTATCAGACAGTTGGTGCATAGGCCAACTTACGTGGGATTATGTTATGGGTTTTCGAAATGTTTGGGCCTCGATAAATGATGTACACAATATATTTTACATGTGTATTTTTTTTCTTGTTGAAAAATATTACTCCGTAAGAAGAATAGCACAAGGTTGCCTGCAGTGACCCTTCTCGAAAGAGTTGTTCTTGTTTTCTTTATACCATATGATAGTTTTTATTTTATTTTTATAACACACTCCATTTGTCTGGGGTAAAAAGATTCAATTATCATATTGACCAAAAAAGCAGAATATTTCACCACATTTTGCATGTCTTGGATTTTTGGCAATGATATTTTCTTGTGCTCTCTTGCATCTCATCAGTCCCTTTTTTTCCCCGGTAAAGACGTTTCATCAGTCCTTGGGAACACTGGATTTCCAAATGAGCTACAATGGAATTCTATAGGAGTTGGTGACCAAGAGAAAAGATACTTTAGAACAACTTGATGAATAAAATCAATATAGAATTGATGTCATTGATAGAGTCCTGATATTTACAAACTGTTTATGAAATAATGCTTAATAAAAGAGGTAGGAGAAAATGAGGAGACTTTTCAGTTCATCAAATGAAAAACCGAAATGGATCGAACTTCACAAAATCAGAAAGGTAACATTAACTTGAAATTTATCCATGTTATATTGTTTTATGCAGTTCTAGAGTAGGTATTATCTTTATGAACCGTTTATAACCTAACCATATAATATGCACATGTTATTCAAAGTTTTCATTCAGCATACAAGCATAAAAAAATGACAATTCTTTTTTCCCATTCTCGTTTTCACTGTGGATATACAGCTGAAGGACTGGATTTTGGCAATAGCATTTACCATATAAGTTTTGATGAAGAGTTTTCGGATAAGGTAATTTTTTTTGCTCTTTTTTCATCTTTCTTTCTCTCTCTCTCTCCTTTGGCAGCTACATTCTCTTTTGTTAATGTGCTTACTATTGTGGACTACCTCTAATGATGAAAAATATTTGTATTGTGTTCAGAAATTTAAATCTTCAAGCCCCTTCGGTATAAAATACAAGTTCCACCTAGAGGTAAATTTCTTTTTTATTTTCCCCTTGTCTCTCTCCAATGTTGGTTATATTTTCTCTAATATAGCTGTTTCTGTTCCATCTCTCTATATGATGCATGCAATTATTTTTGATCCATTAATTATAATTATATTTGAATGATGTGCATTCTTGTATTATAAAGTTGGTTTGTACTTCTATCACTCTCTCTCTCTCTCTCTCTCTCTATATATATATATATATATATATATATATATACATACACTTTTATATGGATAGATAGATACGATGATGAGTTGGTATCGCTTAGCCAAAAAAATAACTAATTCTTCCTGCCAGTTGTTTGGTTGCAGTATCTCTAGGTTATTTTTATTTCGTCACTAGTGTTCTATTGTTCCATGTTTCACCTTCAAGTCATGATTTTATATATTATTCTGCCAGTAATCTGTAGAGTGCTGTGCCCTTTTGTTGTAGGATGCTGTCGATTGTCCTGAATGGATTGTTCCTTTTCATCTCTTCAAATCATTGGCAGAAGAGGTACAGATTTGTTTGCTAGACACTCTTTTTCTGATTAAGCTTCTGAACATCATTCATGCATGTTACCTTTTCCTTCCTTCTATTTGCCATTAAATGGCACATCACTTGTTGTCCGAACAAGGAAATGGTGGGGTAAGAAAGGGCCGTATATATTTGGGCGGGTGACAACTCGCATTTTAAAGTAACTTGTAACAAACTGGTTTTCGTCATTTTCCATATATGGCAAAAAAATCATTCTAAAAATCTTGAAAATCGTTGTGAAAGTGAAAATAAAAAAGAGCAAAAAAATTAAATAACATGCGAGTCAAATATAAGTTTTCACTCACTTATTTTGTTATGTTCGGATCCAATTTTGTTGTGTCTTTGCTCTTGCAACTCATAGAATATGAAAAATTACGACTTTTTGGCATGGAATGCAGAATGGTCTCGTTCATATAGCTTGGTTATGTTTGAAATGTGCAGTATGACTTGGAGCTAGTTTTTGTAAAAAACTCGCATGTATTTGTGGATGAGTACTTGAAAAAACCAGAATTTGTGGAGCTAATGAGGAGACTCGGTGCTCTGGGTGATGGAAACCAAGACCAGAGTAAGTTTGGTTGTGTCAGTTTTTGTTCTTTTTTGTTACTTTTTCCCACTTTCCTTACTTCTGATGTATGTTGCTGGGAATCATGTCGATCGTTCTTTTTTAGTTATTATCCGTCCTGGTTTTAGAAATTTAAATTGTGATGTTTATAGCGAACCACATACTCTTTGATACGCTGATTCTTGATTTTGTCTTCTTAACATCCAGGTACACTATCACCAGATGAATGGGAAGTAGCTTATTTATACCTGTCATTTGTTTTGAAGAAGGTACGAATCACCTTCCTTGTATAGTTAACAAATTAAACTCAGATAGATATCATCGTTGATCACCACAAGTAACATTTTTGCTTTGTATGTTTGTGCGCGTGCAACTGCACATGTATTTGGCAGACGGTTCAGTATCATTTGATACTCTATTTGTTGCTTTTGGTCAATTTTTGTTTTTGCAGAGAGGAAAGCCAGACCAAGCACAGGTAAATGCAAGACAGGACAAAGGCAAGATGCATTTATCAAAGGAGGACATTAGGTACATTGGCAATGAACTATAACACCGCATAAATATGAAGATCGAAGACTCATCTTCAAGCTGGACAATGTTAAGGATGACCGGCACAGGGAATTCATAGCTGGGGGAACACACGGTCTTATTTTCCTCTACTCCATGAGTTCTTTGTATAGTTTCGCATGGCTTTTCAGTTTTGCAGAAATCGCAATAATATGTTGCAGAGTTGCTTACCTTCTGCTGCTGCTTCTAACTGAAGACAAATTCCAAATAACTAAAAACATTAATATTTTTTTGGATGAGGCATTGAAGCAGCAGTAGGTGACTGATTTCAAAGGCACGGGTCACCACGCTGGCAAAAATATATGCTATGTTCGATCTGAATATGTAATTCTATTCAATTATACATTCAACGGTATTATGAGAGCCAAAGTATTAGATAACCAGAGACTCTTTTTGTTACTGAATTTACCAAATCCAAGTACTCTCCTCGGCAGATGAAAAGCTAATAATGAAAGATGTTGATTTGCAGTTTGCACATCCAGCGACATTCCCAAACAAGAAAAAAAAAAAATAGAAGTACCATTATATTTCTCCTTAAAAGTTATGATGTCAAATGAGTTGGATTGGCATTAGTTGTTATTTGACGTTGGAAGTCATGAATTAACATGAGAAGCACAGCTATGTGGGGAACGGTATGTCACAATGTGGTGTGTGTGTGTGTGTGTGTGTGTGTGTATCTCATTATTCCTTACTGTGTTGTATACCTGTCAAATTCATTTGGGAAGAAAATTAACTAAATTTCCAACTAATAACTTAATAAAAGCAACACAATGGATTCATGATAACAGAATCTGCTGTCACCATATTTCTCCCAAGTAATTTTAGTCCGGCTACGTGGTTGGTATTTTCTCACATTCTCAAATAGAATGATGAGGATTTAAATTAAATCTAGTGGTATTTTTTCACATTCTCAAATAGAATGATGCTGATTTAAATCAGGTCTAGTAATATTTCCGCACATTCTCGAATAGAATGATGAGGAATTAAGGTCTTATTGGTTTATAACTCTAAGAAAACAGAAAATTGAAAATAAAAAACTGCACAAAAAAATTCTGTTTGGTTCAGTTTTTTTAAAACACCGTTATAAAAAGGTTTATTTTTGTAAAACTGTCTTTTATTGTTCTCTAAAAATTATTTTATATTATATAAATTTTGAGAACTGTTTTCATAATTACAAACTAAGCAAGCTCTAAGTCCCTCTTCCTTACCTTAAAAAAAAAAAAAAAAAATCCTACAATTATGGTTATAATTATTTAACTCCAATGCACAGAGTCTTACCAAAGATTTTTTTATATATATTTTTAATAAAATTGATGATACTCCGTATATATATTTGGTAAGGAGTATTTCTATTTCGGTGCCACATCAATGATTATCAGTCTGCCATGTCACCAATTTAAAAAACAAAAATTCAAAACGACGCCATTCCAAAGACCAAGTCTGTCTCGAACATTCAATCAAATGCACTCTTCCTCCTCTCTGCACAGCTCCTAAACTCAATCCTAAAACCTGACTCCCATACATCACAATCAGAAACCAAAACTCGCAGCTTTGAAACCCTAGTAAGTATCACCATTGCTGCACCTTCAAAATAATAGCATTTTCAGTGCAGCTTTGAAACCCTAGTTCACCGCCACGAAATGTTCTCTCTTTGGTAAGGTGTTGATAGATATGGCTGTTTCGAAGGACTAGATAGAGAAACTAGTAAAGGTATAAATACGTTTGACGGAGATGGCTTCTATGGCTCTCAGCCACCCACACTGTTCCTTCTCAGTCACGTTGCTCGCTTCTAATTCTAGAGACTACCCCCCTTCTCTCTCTCTCATCAGGAATTCAAATCGAAATCTATCGTATTTCGCTTCTAAATCTAAAAGTAAGTTTTGCTACTTTTATCCGAACCACTTATCTTACGTTTGGTTGCTGAGAGATTGTTAGAATGGAAAAAAAGGAAATTTAAAAATAAAACTTTTTTTTTTTTTTCATTTTTTTCGAAAACTAAATGGGCTATGGACTATTTGTTTTTTTTATTAAGTAGCGTGTGAAGATAATTTTGATAGTCGAATCTGATGATAGATGGTGTAATGGTGGTAATCTGATGCAGTACTGTTGATGTATTTAAAGTATTTTTCGCCCCTGTTACTTGTTGAATGAATTGGGTTCAATTGAAGTGGTTGAATAGTGTGTTTAAGGAAGCTTGAGACTAAGTGGAGTTAGGAAAGGACATGCTCTGATTTTGTGCCAAGAAAAATGTGGAGAAGACAATGAGAACTTGGATTCTTATAACAGGATTTGGTTGTGGCAGCAGTTGTTAAATTCCATGTTTTATTTTATTTTTGTGATTTTTTCGCAGTAAATGGAGGATTAGAACCAAAAAAAAAACATAATTGAACAATTCTTATGTTCTATCAACTTTCTGTGCGCGATGGATTGTTAATTTGCATTGCATCTAATTGAAGGTGGCTGAAAGCAGAATTCATTATGGTCTGTCAACATTTTTCTAATTTGTTTTCTGTTGACTTTTTAGGTAATTTACTTATTAGAGTCATCAAAACTTCATTCGTGCATTAGCTATCTCTAGGAATTCCGACAGGTTCATTTTCCTTAAGTCACTCTATGAGAAAGTTAGATATTGCTCAATCATCAATCTGCCCTCCTTCAAGTGCTTTGTCATGCTCGAAAGTGAGCTAGGCCATGTTGTTGTAATTGATGACTGATTTGCAATGCCAGGTCAGAGTTTGTTGGTTAATCCAGTCAGGCTGCAGTGGTCCTCTCGCACAGCTGTTGTTGGCGATACACCCGTGGTACCAAATGATCATACCAAAGAACAGAATCCCTTTCCTGATCTATCTGATCCCACAGCCAATCATGGAGAGATCACAAGGAATGCTGAAACAAGGGACAGTGAGGATGATATCGAAGCCTTGGATGACCATAAAATGATTCGGGTTTGTGACAAGCTAATTGAGGTTTTCATGGTTGACAAGCCCACACCAACCGACTGGAGAAGATTGATAGCTTTCAGCAAAGAATGGAGCGATATCCGGCCTCACTTCTATAAGCGCTGTTTGGACCGAGCGGATAGTGAGGACAATCCTGGTATGAAACACAAGCTACTACGGCTTGGAAGGAAGCTAAAAGAGGTGTTTATTTTTCTTCTGACTTAAAGTTGGTCAAGTTATAAAATGCTAAAATGATGTTCGATTAATTTCATTTATTGAATTAAGAATTAGTTATCTGAAGGCAAAGATTGATGTTGTATTTTGTTTTAGAATATTATACAACAAAAGAAATGTGAAGAAGCTGCTAGTCTCTTGTTGGGATATGCATGTAGCCATGAACAACAATCCCATCCCAAACGCTAAATGGATACATCTTTAACATAGATGCTTGGTCATGCAGTTCCTTGTATTCCTTGCTAATAATAATAATTCTTTTTTTCCTGGAGTTACATACTGGTCAACTTATCTGGTAAATGGGCATGCTCCCTTTCTTAGGTTTTTTATTTTTATTTTTATTTTATTCTTTGATAAGTTAAAAAAAGAAAAGAAAAAGAAAAGAAGCAATGCTAAGAAGCTTTGTTTGTAGTGTGATTATTTGGGAATTCACTTGGAACTTCTTTTCTGCAGATTGATGAAGATGTTGAAAGACATAATGAACTTCTTAAAGTGATCAGGGGGGCACCGTCTGAGATCAATGAAATTGTTGCTAGGCGTCGTAAAGATTTTACAAAAGAATTCTTTATGCATCTTCACACTGTAGCAGAATCTTATTACGACAATCCAGTGGAACAAAATGGTGAGACTTTATGCCTGTCTCTCTCTCTGTCTGTCTGTCTCTTCTCTTCTCTTTTCTTTTCTTTTTTCTGCTAGCTTCTTTTGTTCAACTTGTTATCTCTTATGTCCTTATTGTCCATCTGGGTGATGTCATTAGTTTCAGGAGGTATGACATACTGATGACTGAGTAGTTTCTAATTGTTTTATTGATGTCACCAATGTATTGCTCCTTCTCATTGGATATTAGTTCAAAGAGTTAGGAGTTGGATCCATATCTACGAGCACCTGATTGGCTAAACCTGTATATGTCTTTGTCACCCACTGCAGATTCCATTAAGCGGTTAAACAAATTACATAGAGTATTTTTTACTTGTTCTGTTAATTGTTAAGAGATACAACAATGTAGCATTTATGTAACGTGTTATATCCACTAGTTGTTGAGCTTACTTGGCCAAGTTATCTAAAGTTGATTTCTGAGGGGATTATTAATACGATAATGTAGGATACTGGAGAGTGGAGACAGAGGTCGTCTTGAAGGAGCAACGGACCACAGAAAACTTCTCACAAACTTGAGTCTGCTTTAGTTTTCTTCAAATGAGGGTATAGCATAGTAGTCAGGTCTGCTTAACAATTAATGACCCTTTACCATTCTGTATAGGAGAGGATGACGTCAAGTCATCATGCCCCTTATGCCCTGGGAGACAAACATGCTACAATGGCTGGGACAAAGGGTCTCGGCTGCGTTAACAAAGAACACCTACTTCACATATTTCCCCAAATCATTGGCTTCGATTGCATTTCCTTAATTAATTTCTTTTTCTTACTCTTACTACTAGTCGTAAATCCCAGAACCTAAATAGAACCATAATAATCAAAACATCATTCAGGTTTGCCTGGGCAATGCCTCTGATGGTTTGCGTAGGTCGTATTCCAATCAAGACACTATATACGTATAGGTCAATTACCAATGGTGATTTTTACTTTGCTTTGTTTGTGTCTTGTATAAACTAAAGAATATCTTGTAACCAAAAAAAAAAAAGGCTGTTATGCAAGTTGTTTAAGCAAGAAGTGCAGAGGAAACAGGAGTCAGATGCATTGATTTAAATTGAGACATAAGTAATGAAAGCTCAGAGAGATTTTCTAAACCTCTAATAGGAAGACAATCCAATTAGATCAAGTTTGCTATTTCTGTTTATTTAATATGAAATAATTTATCTTTTAAAAATTGTAAAATAATCTCTGTTCACCACAACAAATTATATCCAGAGCTGCCACTGTATATTCCATTGTGAACTTATTATGCTAATGACTGAAAAGAGGAGCGGAAAAGAGGGGTGGGGGTTTGTTTGGGGGTTGTCAGCAATAAAGATCAGTATTTGTTTTTTTCTTTTCTTTGTTTTCATAAAGGCTCCTTTGTGTCTTTCCTTCTATGTAGCATAGAACTGGGTGAAGTTTTCTGTATTATATCAAGTTCAATAGTTTGGGTTTTTAATAGCTATCTTGCTATTGTTGCATGCTCCATGTACATTAGTGGGATCAATTTTGTGGGGAAATTTCTTGTTTTTTCTCCATACAAACAGGTAGAATCTGCCTGGTTCACACTGGCTTAATGCACAGTGACTTACATTTGACAGCCTTGCTCCATTCCAGCTTGGTATTTGAAATCCATAGTTAATTCTGAGACACTGCCATGTTGTCTTTACGTTTTAATGGCTCAAGTCCAACCCAACCTAACTTCTTGTTGTGGAGAAAACCCTTTTTATACTCACAAGGAACGAAGTCTTGAATTCAAACCTTCGCATATTTAAGATTAAATGCGCATAAAATTAAAATTAGCCAATAGGAAGATAAGAGATTTACATGATTAGACATTTTGAGCACTTGAGTGGAAAACTGGGCCTGCATAGGCCTTTGCAGGCCTGGATTTCCTGGCCTTCTAAGTAACCTGGCTGATAAAATTAGGCCTGTCCTGTCCTCACGTGATGGGCCTATGGATTTTGCTTGCCAAATAGCTGGATATAGAATTGCATCCCTTAGTTTGAATTATTTACAGTGTACAACCCTGATACTATCTCACTTTTCTGTCTGATTAGACTTGGCAAAGCTTGGAAACATGTGCTTGGCTGCTGTACAGGCATATGATACTGCATCAGAAAGTATTGAAGCACTGAATGCTGCGGAGTTGAAATTTCAAGATATAATTAATTCTCCTTCTTTAGATGCTGCTTGCCGAAAGATAGACAATCTGGCTGAGAAAAATCAACTTGATTCAGCATTGGTGCTTATGATCACAAAAGCTTGGTCGGCTGCCAAGGAGTCAAATATGATGAAAGATGAGGTATATTAACTGCTTTACCAGAAGATGCCTCTTTATAAATTTCTACTTGTTAACTCAGGTGGTAATTCTGGCTTTTTGTGATTTTTGGAAGTCTTCAATGATAATTGAACATATTGGAAATTTTACTTAATCTTTTGAGCCACCCATAAGAATATGGTGAACAATCTGTTGGTAGACCAAACTTCTTCCACTGTTTCTGCGTTCAGGAGTATGATGATAGGCAAGATAACAGAAAGCAGGGGAGAGAAAGGAATATAATGTATTTATAGTGATGTTGTGGCCCTTGTGACTTAACCGTCTCATTTGTAGTGTATAGGTCCAATATCAATACTATAAGGCGATTAACCTTCGTTTGTAGAGGAGGAAAAACAGCTACAATGTGCACACCTGGTGATGTGTAAGCTGACGTGGCAGGCCAAGAATATCTCAGAGTATAGTGTGTGTATATATATTTGTTTTTTGGGGGAGAAGGTGCAGTGCTATCATAACCAATTGACTTTTTTTTTTTTTTTTTGGGTTTGGGTTGGGGGTGGGTTGGGTTGGGTTGGGTTGGGTCCTTCAACATTTAATGGATGCATATTAGGTTGGTCCTAAAACCTGTTATAGTCATAATGCAGGAATGTGATGAAATATCTGCATCAAGTTTCTTGTTTCTTACAATTAGTGTTTGTCATCTACAACTCACAATAACCATTCAACACTGTTACTAGGTGAATATTTGCAGTTTATATCTATGCAATAAAAAAGAAAAAGGAAAGAAAAGAAAGAAAGGTTCACCATTGCACGTGCTTTGGAATGAAGTCATCACATGCAATGGAGATTTGTATATATATGTTCAGTAAATAGAAAAGTTGGAACCAATATTGTTGAAAGAACATGTAGAATTAAGTAAACTTTTATTTTGGGGGTGGGAGGGAACAGAGAAATGACTTGTTTCAAATGTAAATAACAAAATGGGATAATCTCTGAATGCTGCTTTAGTTGTCATTATTTATTTATTTGTCATGCTCCAGGTAAAAGACATATTGTATCATTTGTACATGAGTGCAAGAGGTAACCTTCAAAGGCTTATTCCAAAGGAGATTAGGATAATTAAGTATCTTCTCACAATTGAGGATCCTGAGGAGCAATTATGCGCCCTGAAAGATGCGTTCACTCCGGGATCAGAACTTGAAGGGAAGGATGTAGACCTCCTATACACGTATGTATTTGAAACTTAATTGCTCTAATTAATTGCTCCATTGTTGAAATTAAATGCAGTTTTACAGACTGAAGATAATATAATTGCCCAAGTAGGAATGTATTTAAAACTTAATTACTTCATTGTTGAAAGAGTAATGATACTTGCACCTATCACTTACGCAGAATTGTTAGGCCTACTATATTTGATTAGTCAATGCATGTCAAATATAAAAAATGGGACCCTCCACTTCCTTATCTAATGCATTAATGACCAATCATATATACTAGGCCTAACAATTCGCCTAAGTGATCGGTGCAAGTATTATTACTCTTGTTGAAATTAAATGCAGTTCTACATAGACTGAATATAATACAATTGTCCAAGTGTTGACACTGTACTGTTGACGGCCAATCATATGATTGTTCCTTTTTGAGTGTCCTTTGGTACAGAATAATCCATTAAAAAACAATAATCATGATCGATTTTTATTTTATTTTATATATATATGTTTGTTTTTATTTTAGAAACTACACAGATGAGGATTTTTGTAAATTTTGTTGCTTCTCAATCTTTTTGATGTGACGATAGCATGACATTAACAGGACACCAGAGGAATTGCACACCTGGATTAAGGCAGTGGTGGATGCTTATCATTTCAGCAGAGAAGGCACTCTTATAAGGGAAGCCAGGGATTTGATGAACCCGAAGATCATCCAAAAACTGGAAGAGTTAAAGAAGCTAGTCCAGAACAACTTCATGTGACTATTAATTATAGTTCCCATGAGCTTTTATAGGTTCCTTGGTCTGAAAATCCTCAATCTTACTGTGGATTTCTCGAAGTTCATGGATGTCAATCCTTAATTGTGGCTGTCCATTGCTAGAAAATATCCAGAGAACTGTATTCAGCTACAAAAGGTGATAGATGATGATGACTCGTCGGAATTTGGGCACGAGATATAGGAGAACCTCTCTATACGACACTGCACATATGCTTGATCATCTTAGATTAATTGGAGTGCGTCCAACTATAGTATCATGTTAGTTTTGATGTATAATATGGCATCTTTTAGAGGTATATGACGTTAATATGAATGGAAAATTTTCTTATGCAAATTCAGGATTTTTAAGGATGTATTGCTGGTATAAGATGCATGAAAACTTATTCTATGAGGTGCTGTGTCCACCAAACACACCCAAAGCCTTAGACACCACTACGCACCTCCTCAGTCGCTCTCTTAAAACATGAACGATCTTACTCTCACGGTGTTACAACTTGTTTTTAATGTTTATTGTGGTTGAGACTGAAGCTGTACGCTTGCAGTATACTTAAACAGTTGGTGAGGGAGGAGATGTGTGTCTCAGTCAATTCTCAACTCTCTTTGGTCATGGTTTGATTGAATGATGAGATGCAATACACCATGACAATTACTGATGTTATAAATTTTTTGCTCATTTTGGTTGATTATGTTCTTTACTCTAATTTATGTTAGATGCAGTGGTATGAGTGGTTTTGATTGGCTCCTTGAATTTCTAACCAATTCCATTGCTGTTAACGCAAAATTTAAGAGGAAAAAAAATGAGAAACAAAATATTACAGCAAAGCAAAGAAGAAACAAATAAGAAAAGAATTCAGAAAAACACAAATTTAGAGAGAGATTGGCACAGAGAGAAATTTTAGAGAGAAAAATAAAATTAGAGAGAGATACTATTGGGAGCAAAAGGATTTTTAGAGAGAAAAAACAAAATTAGAAAAACAATATTGGCTGCCACAGAATTTCTAGAGAAAAAAATTTAGAGAGATGTATATATAGGCGGCCACAAAAGGTATTTTACAGAAAAAATTGAGATAGAGAAACGGCTACAAAAAGATATTATGGAAAGAAATTTTTTTTAAAACAAACAGATATGATAGAGAAAAAAATTAGGGAGAAAAAAAAAAAAAATTAGAGAGAGATGGGTAGAGAGACGGCCATAAAGAGATATTATAGTGAAAAAAAAAAAATTAGAACAAAGAGATATTTTAGAAAGAGAGAAAAAAAAATAGTGATATATATATATATATATATATTTTAGAGAGACAAAAAATTGAGATAGAGAGATAGCCACAAAGAGATATTATAGAGAGAGAGAAAAAAAATTAGAGATATAAATGGGCCACAAAAAGATATTTTAGAGAGAAAAAATTGAGATAGAGAAATGGTCACAAAAAGATATTATAGAGAGAAAATTTAAAACAAAGAGAAAAGAGAAAACAAATTTAGAGAGAGATAATACCATTGAGAGAGAGAGAGAGAGAGAGTGTTTTATTTGGGCAAGTCTTGAAGCACACCAAACAGGCCTATTTAATGTTTAAATGTATACAAAATTAGTACCAACATTCTTGACACATAAAAAAGGCACTTTTGAAATTTTAAAAATAGAAGAGGTTACCAACTCTTTTTCAACAGATTTATTCAACAAACCCTTTAAAAATTAAGTAAATTGAACATATAAATGAAAATATATATTCATATGGTTCATCCATCTAAGGATCTCACTCGCAGGGGTGCTTCGTGTCCTCTTTTTTAAAATTAGGATTCCTCTCTCTCACACACACGAGTACACAAAACTAAACTTATTTTTTTCTTGGTCGGTTAGGAAAGCAGAAGGATTGGGTAGTAGGAAACTTCCCACTAGTACAAGGTACTTCAAATGAGGCTACTTCGTACTTGCGCTTGGGTTTGGTTCTTATGGTTGGAGAAGTGAGGGAGATGCGCTTGGGTTTGGTTCTTATGGTTGGAGAAGTGAGGGAGATGTGTAACGGTATCATACCCTTGAAAAAAGGTTTTGAATTGGTTAATACGATGAACCACAGAAAGATGTACGGTAAATGACATGGTGTTAGGATTATGAGAAAGTCCTAAATCACAACCTCCAATGACCTCATTGCAGCATCGCCATCTCTCTCCTTAGATGAAACAAATGGTGCTAGGGTTTTGAGAAAGGCCACAATCACAACCTCCAATGATTCGGCTTCTCACCTCCACAACCATTGTGCATCTTTGGCTCTTTCATTATATGTCCAGGATAAGCGCCAAGCCAACGATCAATCATCACATCCACAACCGGAATTAAAGTTCAAATCCACCACAATTTTGTATTGGCATTCTCATCTACAGCCATGTGAAACTGCAGCCAATTCACCAATTGCTATCAATGATAAGGGTGTTGACCACTTATATCAATGTGCTTATTTAGGAGAACGTAGTTTTCATGGCAAAAGCCAAAAGTTTGATAATTCAAAAAAATAAAGCTGAGATTCTAAATTGAGCTGAAATTATACTCAGAAAATACCTGCAGTGGATAAAATACATAAGTTCGACCAAAAACACAAATGCCAAAACATATAATAGTAAAAAATTATTCAAAAACCCAAAGCCACAAAAGCCGTACATAGTAACTTCTCATGTAATCACGGAGCAACTAATAAGCCATATGAAATATGATCATTTGCAGTTTGCACATTCAGCGACAATCCAAACTAGTGTTATCCAAATAAGAAAACATAAGAAACATTACATGGATATGTATGTTTCAAATAAATGAGTATTTATTTAGTTTAACCTCGCTTCAGCACCACCATCATAATAACCATGACCGCCAATCCTAGGAAGGATGCTCCCAGGGTTTTATCAACAAAGGTTGATGGGCCACTTCCATCAGCAGTTGCAGATTTTTCTGCGGACGAACCTCCAAAGAAAGACTGAAAATAATCAGATAAGCTGTTCATCATATCAACCACTGTTAGCTTAACGTCCTGCAGCAAATCCAGAAACCCATTTCCAGGCTCTTCAGAATGCCCTGATTTTGATGAATCATCAACTCTCTCTGGATAAAGCTGACATTGGATTTCAGCATCAGCAAACGATTTGTTTACATCAGAATTTTTATCTGTTATAGGAGCACTTGACATGAGAGATTATAAAATTTTGAAGTAACAAAAATCAAATAAATGAATGGAAGACAGATCAACTCTTACCAGTCTTTTTTAAGTCGATGTAACTCACAAATTCCGGATTTTGAAATACAGCTTGCCACACATTTGGGTCAGAAGCAATTGAAGCAACAACACTCTACGCACAAACAAACCAAATCACTCATTATATCCATGGAGTAGATATATTGGTCAAATTATCAAATTATGTAGTGTGTAGCCTAAAACTAGCACATAGAACAAGGAGCGAAAGGCCAGCAATATAAAACAGAGCTGATTTTTTTTTTCTTCATAATTAGCAAAAAAAAATTGTGTACGTGTTTAGATCTAGCACTTTTGAGATAGCATGTAACACATCATAAATTTTTAGAATATATAAAGGGAACATAATTATCAGGCGTATACATTTTTTTTCACCCCATGTTATAGAATAAACAAGAACTAAAGCTGCACCCTTTTTGGTAGAGAGACCTTTTGCTTTAGCACAGTACGCAGTCGAAAACTCTTGAAAATACACTGTTAAAAAGGAATCTTTTAGCTAATTTCCTGAATTTGGGACCCCAAGAGCTATCTGATTAAAAATTATCAAGCATAACACTTCCTGGTATCTGGATGTACCCACATGTTACAAATTGAACTCCAACAATTTGGATAAGTACTTTTTCAAGTACACAATTTCTTTGGTAAAGATAAAAAGCTCGTGGGTGAGAAATAGAACCCAAGTACATACATTCAACAACCCAATTATAGGTATATAACACAATCCACAACTTATTCCATCAGATAAGGCACAATATTCTAGTTCATGCAGAATTAGTTAGGCTCTTGCATTCTCAAATACCAGTGCTGCAACATTTTATTATCCAGTGAGTCAGTGACATAGCATCAATGACATCTATTGCATTCCAAAAAGGCTACAAGATATTCAGTTCAATTTCAAGAGTTTCTACAAGATAATATATATCTAGCCAAATTTGGTCAGATTTAGTTTCACTTGAATCAAACAACAAAATCTGGAAATCTCTTCATCAACAAGAAGTCTAAACAAAAAGGCCAAAATCATATTATCCAAATAGAACATGCAAGTCACATTTAATTAAGGCATCTGACATATACGCCTGCCAATATTGTCTTTGGAATGCCAATAAGAATATTTAACGGTAGTGACCACATTCAATTGACTCCATATATTTGAGAACTCTCATGGAATTATGTAACTTTTTACAAGAGTTATAAACCACTTGAAATAAGAATTCAAGGTGTGAAACAGCAAAAATCTTTAGTACATATAAAAGAACACAGAAAGAAAACATACAATTCAGTGACCCATATGATGTTGCAGATTTATCATTCAGAGGCATCAGCAATTACATTCTAATTGTTCCTCTATTCATCATGAGCATTTTATTCATTTCTCATTTTCCTATTACGCATGGATTAGACTCAAGATCCTATAATAAAAAAACAATGATAAGAAGTTCAAATCAGAACCTGTGCCAAAGGATTTTCATTGAGGAGCCTAAATGCCTGAAGAGCACCTGTCGGAGGTGGTGTTGTCTCACTGGTAACACAGGCCTTGGTCTCTAAATATTCTGAATTTGAAAGCAAGGACAAGCTGGAACCGAGACCAGCTCTAACTGGTTCCTCGCCCACAGTAGACTTAGACAGATACATCCTGAAAAAACATGTCAAGGTAAAAATGAGATAATGCCCACTGGTTTAATTTTTTTAAAAAAAGGCAGAAGACAAATGTTTTAGGATACATCGTCCATAAACCTAAAATTGAACACTAATCACTAAAATTAACCAGAACTTTGTGGCCCACTTAATAAGATTCTAGCTTTATCCTGAGTTAAATAAGGAAATCAAAACAAACATGAAATTTAGATGATCTGTTGATATACAGGCTTCAAAAGCAGCAAGTAACTGATGTTTCATCATTTGAACTAAATCTTAATGGATATCAACATGCACTGTCACCAAATTACAAACCATAACCTAGAATTCCTAACAGTCTACTGCAATAAACATTTCTGAAGCTTTAGCTGCAACGGCTCAACAGAAAAGAAGAACCAACATTAATGAAAAACTATACCACTCAATAAAAGAGGAACTTAATTGCAAAGAGCATCAAGTTCTAACCACAACCTCTAAGTGGGTATCTACCAACCTTTGACATCCAGCACTTCCTACCTCTCTTCTTATTAACTAGTCCTAGCACGTTGCATAGAAGTGTCAGGAAATGGCCATTGACACTCTAACCTGCTTCAAAATATTAAAAGCTTTGCTCATAAAGGTATCAACTTTTCTCTGATGTCAAAACTAATTTTGTTTCCGCAGCTATCATCAGCAATTATTCTTCCGGAAAATTCTTCACAATTAAGTCACAATTTCTATATAGACATGTCAGAGTGGTTCAAATTCAGAACTACAAGAAGAAAATCCTGACCCAAGATTAGACATGGCCAAAGAAAAGAAAACATTGTATTAATTAGACCGGGGATTTCTACAAAGCATCTTCGGACTACGGTTTGTCGATCCACTCACTTTATTACTTGAAAGGTGCTTTGACTCTCGCCGTTAACCGGTGGCATTGCTCGTCTAAGCTTGATTCAACCTATGTTGTCAACCTAATACTCTAACCTGGTTACACACTTATATTATTTCAGTAAAAATATGGTTACTAGATAGAAAGTGGTAGAGCTTCTAAGGAGCAGCCATGTACAGCAATTACCCACAACCCAACTAGAACTCAACTCCACAAATCACATTACTTATATTATCATAACTCCAAAATTCCCAAAACAAGGATAAAAGAGTTAACTACACAGTTGACCTAGGTTCGAATTAACAATCCTTGCAACACGGAACCATAATTGTACAATCTGTGATTGAAAAAAAATGGAAGCTTTCCCAAACCATTAAAAATTCTGAACCGCCACATCTGAACAGCACCCCAAACACATTAGTTTTGAAAACAGTGAGCTGAGATCTGCCATCACAACTCAAAAATCAGAAGTAAACCTGGCAGCCCCCGGGGAGTTTACAAGAGACATTTCATTCACCAATATATAAAGGATTCAAGACACGAGTTTAATATGTCATGAACTAATATAAACAAAATGCTCCATCTCTTCAAAGAAGGAAGAAAAGCACCCAAATTTTAAAACAACACCCATATCATGTAACAGGCCACGTTGGAATTTATTTATCAAGTGCTTCCTGTATATATGTAGTGCTGTATTAGCACAATCAGCAGATGCATTTGCTTATATTCCCAAGATATTGGGATGCAATACAGAAGGTATTATGGCACTAGGTATAAGCTACACATCCAATCCAATCAATCATGGTGTGAGAAAATGAGAAAACGAGAGAAAGAAAACTAACAACCCACAATCTTAACAAGCCCCGCTGACAACACAACACCACTAGGACATTTACACTTATTTCAATCATGAATCATCCACATCCACATCCTACCAAGCACCGTCTTCCTATACATCATGACCTGGTTTCTCCCACCATCCGGGAAAAAAGCGGCAAAGACTTCCAAGTAATTCAATATGTAAAACAAAAGGTCATTAAGTTTTTTTTTATCGGTAAACAAAAAAAACAAATAAATCAAAAGTTCTTAAATTTTTTTTTTTCACAAACAACAAATCCATATAAATCTTTGTATTATATTATGACAAAGCAAGATACAGTGTAATTATAATTAATAGAAATCAAAAACTTGAACAAGACAAGAAATTGGAGAAAAATATATACTTGTCAACAGCGTCGCTGAGTTCAGAAGTGGCCTCTTTCGCTTCCTGAAGAGTCGCAACCTCTCCGAAGACAAGCCTTGGCATAGGTTCGCCGGACTCTAAGATCAATTCATCCTCTCCGCCGGCGAATTCCCAGTCGTCCCAACACGGCTTCTGTACAGCAGCATTCAAGACGTTTGTTTTGCCGTCGTCTGAGGACGAAAGGATCGCCGAGGCAGGACGAGAGGCTTTGCAAGCGGCGGCGGCGACTTGGTGCTCCGCAGGCGACAACGCGGGGATGCCACGAAAACCGCCGCTGACGACGCCGATTCCAGCCACCTTAGCCACAGCTCTCATGGCTCCTCCGCCTCCCATTTTCGCGATATTGAAACCCTAAGGAAAATCTGAAATGGGGATTGCGTTGCGCTACAAGAAAAGCATCCAATTCCAATCTCTAGATTTGTAGTGGATGAGACGATTATATGTGGAATTATATATATATATATATATAGTGAAATATTTAGTGGGAAAGAGAGAGACGTATTTGCGGTGAATTAGGACTGTGCCACGTTGACTATTGAAGTATCCATAAGATTGAATTTATTTCCCCGATAAAGAAATATACTGCTATATTAAAATATTTATTTAATGGAAAAAAAATGTAGTGTGAATTTTTTATACACGAATATCTAATCTGACTATTGGGGATATTAACCCTAATGACAATTCAGCTCCTTTTTTTAGTTAAAAAAAAATAATAATAAAAATTTACCATGTATTCAGCTCCTTTGATTGCGTGTTGTGTCAAAATTTTACCATGTATCGAATTTTTTGTTCAAAAAAAAAAGAAAGATTGGGATCTCATTTTTAGAAAGGGGTAATAGCATATTTATTCTTTTTTGAAAATCTTCATAAATTCTACACAATCAAAATCTTCCATTTACATTCTCTTTTAAGTAAATTTTTCATGTTGATTAGAAATTTTAAAGATCACCAAAGATCATTTCAACAATCTTCTACTTATATATAATTGAAGGATAAATTTGACTAATGAAACCTACACAGGTTAACAGTTTGAATTACTCATAAGGCAATATAATTTATCACTTACATATTTTAATGATTTGATTCTTCCCTAACACCCTTTAATTCTTGCTCAAAATTAAATTAGGGCCCATTATAATATTCATTAAGTAAAGAGTTGTTATTTCCTTTTGATGAATATTTTTTAGTTTATTCCAATTTTTCAAATGTTTCATTGTAATTTTCATGTAAATATACATAATATTCAACAAAATATAAATAAATAAATACATATATTATGGTTCACTTAAGTTTATAATTAACAATCATGCAATAAAACACTCACACTATCTTTGTGATGCAAATTTACTATATAAATATTTCATTTTCATAAATTATTTATTTTATATGTTGATTTTGAAATTTTTATGATCAAGTTTGACATTAATATCTATTAATAAATTAATATATTCCTTTGGTGAAATTTATTATTTTATATACATATTTATGTTTTAATATAGGATCTTTTATAATAATATTATATGTAGAAGATATTTAAGGTAAAAATGTAATATATGCGTACAACATTCAGATTTTAACTTTTGAAACAATCTTAATAAATTCAATATTTAAAATTAATAGAATATCAAACAAGTTTACATATTAATATATGAGTAATAATATTTCCACCGATTTGTTGCACAGAATTGTTGCACCAAATGTTTCTGATTGGTTATTTATACATAGTATATATAGGTGGAGGGCCCCATTTCTTTATTTATGCATAAAGGGTAGTGATAGATGGACCAATAATTTCGGCATATTAGTTATACATGGCAGTCCAGGTAAACAATTAAAAAAAGGAAAGAAAATAAAAGGAGAAACAATATACGCGTTCGCAGATTCATCTTTCCCAGGCTGTCAAGTTCTAAGCTAAGTTCTTCTTTTTTGATAGTTATCAAATCTCTCTCTTTTCATTTCGTCTCTTCAAACAATATTTCTTACCATCTTAACTTGAAGAGAGAGAACTTTTAATTACTAAAAAAAAACGAAAGAACTTTTGATTTTTAAAGTATGGTTGCAACTTCATATCATATATCATATTCATATATATTTTTATATATTGTATCATATGTGTAATTTTTTTTTTTTTGGAAGGTAAATATGCATGTGTATTTATTTGTTTGATTATATTGTTCTTCATAGTTTATAAAAAAATTTCAAAGAGATATTAGAGAGAAATATAATGAGAAAAAGAAAGAAAGGAGAGAGAGGAGATGACAGAGAAAGAGAGAAAGAGATGAAAGTGACCTAGTTGGATAGGCTACGGAGTTTCTGCCAAAGTAATCGATCAAATATTTCGATTGAAATATCATTTTTCATGTATAAATGGACCGAATTAAATAAGTAGGTTTGACAATTCATTACAACAAATGACATAAATATATAAATGAAGCCTTCTACTTATATGTACTATGTATAAATACTCCAAAATTTTTTTTATATCAATAAGTAAGGCTCCATAGTTAACCAATCCTTACACGAGAAGATAGAGAGTTGTGCGTAGCATGACCACTTCACGAAATGTGGAAAGAAGTGGGATAAAATGAATGAATGCTACACGAAGGTTCCTCTTTAGACTTTACCTGGCAATGTTACACAAAACAAATAAATACGCAACTCCTGTGACATGCCAGTAATTGAATTTAATTTATGATAGTGTGGTGCTGGGCTTCACCATTTTGTATTATTGTTGAATTAATTTTTGTGAATGCAGTGGTAAGTTGTAATGGGTGGACTATTGGGTAATGCTGTATATTCAATTATTTATACTGAATCATTCTTTTATTCAGATTCGATGTAGAACAAATCTCCATTTGTAACATTCTCTTCCATTCGAACTTACAATGCCCTCGTTGGATTAAGGACTAGGTTTGACTCTAATACTAACTGTAACAAATCACGCTTGCCCATTTATCTAAAAATTTAAACTGTTGGGTAGTACTGCATTCCCACTTATTTATACTCAAGCACTTTACAATCCAAATTCAATATGGTACAAATCTCCACTCATAAACTATGGTCACATAAATTGAATTCGTGATATCTTTAAATCATTTTATTTTATTTTATTGTTTTAACACCTCAATTCATTATTCATATAGAGTAAAGTAACATGCTTATCTAAACCAAACTAAAGTTTTTTTTGGTTGTTTAGAAGTAGAAGAATAATTATTTGATCGAGTGCCGGCCCTCAGCAGAGGCCGCTTTAATAGAAGGTCCCAAAAATATTTATTTATTTATTTATCTTATTATTTTCTTAAAACTTTCCTTTCACTTTGTATTAAAACTCTTAATTAATTTATATTCATATCTCACCTCTTTTTTTTTTTTTTTTTTTTTCCTCCTCTCCCCATTCATTAATTATTGATTATACATATATATGTGTCCTAATTTAGAACTCTTTCTAAAATAAGTCTTCTTTAGATATATTTTGAGAATATAAAGTTTCAAAAAAATATTTACAAATAGAAGTTGTAAAAAAATATTTACAAATAGAAGTTGTAAAATGAAGAATAGATTATTTTCATGCATTGTTTATGCCTAATCTAATTAGTAACTATTATCTAACCTTGTGTGTTTGGTTATAGATTCAACTTAAAATTGAGTTATACAATTCTTCTTTGGAAGCAATAAAAACCTAATTAACAAACGGTATGTAAATTGGGAAAAAAAAAAGAAAGTAAATAATTATACTAATTAAGGATATAGTGAAAGTTTTGGCTTTATGAAGTGATGGCATAATGTATAATCATTTATATAGTAATGATGAACTTAGTGACAATTTATTATTATAAATTAAATATCTAAAGTTGGTGACCTATAACCTTTTGTTTTTCTTAATCAGTTATTTTTTGAGTAGATGAACTGTCATCCCTCTTAAAAAATAATAATCAATCTCTTGACAAATGATACTATAATTACATATTAACAATATAATTATATAACAACCCCTGGCAGACAAAAAGTTACATAATTTGAGCCGGTAAACCACAATATAAAAACCCCGTTGCTCAGGAATCAAGAAAGTGACCACTTCTATTTAATTTGGGTATTTCTGTCCGAAATTTGACCCTTATTTTTTATTAGGAGCTCTCATTATATAGAGCATGAATAATAATGCATCATCACGTCACCACGTTACATATTACTATATAGTAGTGTATACTATCATGCTTTAAAAATGATACATGTTGGTGTGTGTGTGTGTATATATATATATATATATATGAGGAGATTAGCTTTGATCAATTTTTATTGACTACCCAAACACTGTCTTAAATGAAAATAAAGATTTTTATGCATGCTCGGTCGGATATTTTTCTATGTAGGACGAACAAATTTTGTTTTGTTTTGTTTTGTTTTTTTTTCATTTGTCTTCACAAACTATTCAAATTGGGCATGATGGTTAAAGATAACATGATTACATGACCTTGCTGAAGCCCCACTTAACATGAAAAGGAAAAGCAACCTCCAAATCCAGATTCCCAAATGAAAAAATCTTACAAATGACCAACAAACATATCATCAAGAACTTGTTGCCCCACACTCCGTGAACATGTTTTTAGGGTTTTATGTGAAGGTTGACTTTAACAGTGACCATACTACTGTCCAATGTCTAGACTAAGTTCGACAAAGTGACAGAAACACACACACTCTCCCCCTCTCCACATAACCAGATATGTTACGGGGCATATGGCATGGTAATATTCAAGGGTAGAGTGTACAAGCCCATAGTGGATGAAGGTAACTGTGGGTCCCAAAGCTACCCCCACACATTTCCCGCGTAATATAAAGGCAGTCCCCATTGCCATTAGTGGATGTATGTGATGTATCTCAACATGCCATAACCAAAGAGGGTTTTCAAAATGTCCAAGATGTTGATAAATCCAATAAAGTGGTGGTTGCCTGTACGACAAATGAAATTTCTCCCGTGAAGGGTGGGCCTTTTTTTTTTCATCAAAAAAAACTTTATCTCAACAATGAATGCAAGTGGTTAGGATCTACTGAATTGAAATGGAAACACAACCAATTGCTTTCACTCAACTCAAAATGAGATTTACTATAACAAAAGGATAAATGAGATATTATAGATCCTTTGCTTTCGGGTGTAATCTAATCTTTCGAGATTAGGGCACAGGAATTTCAAAAAAAAAAAGTTAGAAACATTAGCACTTCAACTCCGATGAGGAGATCCGATTCCAAAATCTTTAGACACACCAACATCTTAGAAACATCCTAATTAAACCAACCATATATATATATCATCACTAGTATATATATATATATACACACACAGAAAATTAAAGTAACAAATATGAGTGGAATCTCCTTCTATCTTTAAGCTTCAAATCTCTTCTCCTTCATGGCATTCACCTCCAGAACACCTGCAGATTCACACAATTATAAATTATAATACTAGTAAATGGAAAAAATTAGAATAAAAGAAAAGAATTATGCTTTTGAGTGTGTATGTTATTTATTTATTTATTTTTATCACACCCACATAACAATAAACTTGGATTTCCAAAACATAAAGCACATGAAAAAACAAGTAGCACACAGTGAAAAATGGTGAACCTTTCTTTTTTTTTTTCGGTGTTGGGAGGAGACATAGAATATATAAAGTTTCAAAAACACCATTTCTTTATTATGAATGAATATCTATGGATGTGACTATTAAAATCAGCCATTGAAATTCAAATCTGTTTCAGACCCACAAAAAATTAACAAAAACCTACCTCAATTTAACCTAAACAAATCTCAAAATAAAAGAAAGATGGTGATCAGATGGACTTAACACATAAAATTACCTTGGGGTTTGCAATTGGGTGGATCTTCAAAGAGCGAAAGAGAAAGCTGCTTGTGAGCGACGCCAATATCAAACAAGATAAGACCTGACTTAGGATCATTGACAATGATGCCCTTGACTGGTAACCATAGAAAAAGCTCTTCCTGAGACATACCCTGAACTCCAGTGAGACCACCATATGTCAAATTGGCGGTGACAACGCTTTCATAGAAGGCCATGGTGTCGAATTTGGTTAAACAAGGGCCATCTAGGATGACCTCCAGAAGCCCAGATTCAGAGAGAGTGTAGGACTGGACTTCCTTGGGAAGGAGACCAGCAGGTAAGCCTTTGGTTCTGAGGAGGTCATGGATGGACATGGAGTGAGACAGAGGTGAAGAGAGAAGGAGGAGACCCAGTAGGCTTAAAACAAGAGGGAAGATGTTTTGAAGGGATGCCATGAGCGAGAGAGAAATTGTGTAGAGAGAGATGGGCAGGGGTTTTAGGGGTGGCTTACTACTGAGTTTGGGGAAATGAGGAGGGAGGGAGTTTAGAAAGTGAAAAGACGAATTTTAAAGGATCCAAGAAACAGTCTTTCAAATTTGCCCTTGGTGGTGGGCAGGGTGGGGGGACCAAGGGTTTAATTTGGTTTTAATTACTTTGATTAATGTTGTACTAACAAAATGGGCTTAAGGTTTGGTGCTTTGTGCGTAGGCTAAGATCAAGAAAGTCAAGCATTTGACCACCGTTTAAATTTGAATTGATGAAATTAAAAATGTTTTTGCAACCCTAGATTTTTTTTTTTTAATTTCTTTTTAAACCTTAGCAATAGGGTTTCGGAATCAAACTGTGTTTTTTAGTTTGATTTGGCCTTGCAATGGTACAATTTGGAAAAACTAGTGTACAACTTCCCAACTTTATGTGAATCTTGTTTCTCTTTGTAATTTTATTTGGTTTAGTGATTGATATTTTAAAGAGCATAAGCTTGTGTAAGCGGTAAGTCATGAGGTCCTGATTTCGATGCAGAGTTTTTTTTAATAGTAACAAGACCAAATATAAATATTTGAACTCAATTTACTTTTGGTTTAACTAATTTAATCAAACAAAACTAATGATGTACCAATGACTATGAATCTTAAATAGCCATTTACGAATTGAAAATATAACAAAATCAAACTTGAAATGTTGATGAGAACACCGCAATGGCATTGCATGTAGAACATGAAGCATAAAACAAGTGGACAAGGCTAACAGTTATAATCAATCTAATAAATATGAAAGCCAAAGGTGGTTATAGAAACAAAGATGAGCAATAGCCAAATAAATGATGTGCAGTAGCAGTATATTATTGTGGAAGAGAGAATCTGTAACATTAACGCAACGGTCAAGAGATGGGGAGTCAAATTGACCCATCCGGAAGCAGAAGGGTGAGCACCACATGAAGGGTAAACAAGTAATTTGAAGTTTCTATGACTTTGCATAGAAATGAAGAGTGTAGCTAAGAAATGAAGGTCCGACACTTGAATAGAGTGGTGTTTTGGTTACTACATTATATAATGACACATTTAAAGTAATAAAACACCTCTCACACATTAAGGAATTGAGTCTGTTGTGGCACGGGGTAGACACAAGTTTTGATAAGCAATGATGGCAATACCCCATGAGGAAGAGAGGTCTGGAGAGGGAGGGACCTCATCTGTATCTAGCTATGTATCCATTTTAATGATTTGACCACACGTGGACCTAACACTAATAACACCGTCCCTACTTTACCTTATTTGCAAGATTTTTTTTTGATCCAAATCTGCTCCCCAGTGCACCTCTCATTGAACAGAATTAAGTGAGAATTTAAGTGTTGAGATTAGACCACCTCAGCCTTTTTTTTTTGCCACATCAACGCCTGACACAAATCAACTCAGCACCCAGTTAACAAAATTATTGATTTACTCTTTTTTAACCACACGTACTAATACAACAAATCTCCAACATACACTTATACATTATATATATACACAAATAGATATACAAATATTATATACAAAAATATATTATATACAAAAATATTCTATTCCATTCATTTTTAGTAAAATTATAAATCTCAATACAACATACACTTATACATTATATATATACAAAAATATATCATAGTTTAGTATCCAAATATACGTATAACAATATATTATATACAAAAATATTTTATTCCATTTCTTTTCAGTAAAATTACAAATTTTCATACAACATACAATTATACATTATATATATACAAAGTATAATTCAGTATCCAAATATATGTATAACAATATATTATATACAAAAATATTTTATTCCATTCCTTTTCACTAAAATTACAAATCTTAAACATTGATTATGTATTTTCAGTATCCAAATATAAATTTATTTGAGATTTTAGGGTTTTGAAATAATTGACTAATTATATAGATTTTAGGGTTGTGGAAGTTAATTTTTTAAACGTGTTAGGAAAATATGTTGATGCTATATGTAATTTATACGTGAAAAATGTTTAAAAAAGTTGTGATATTAATAATTTGATATGTTCAACTTTTGTATTGTATGCTGTTACAAAAAGTAAGTAATGAAATATGTAAATATTTCTACATATATGTTGAAAGTATTTGTGATTCTTATTATTAATTTAGAAATTGTGAAATTGAGTTGTGAAAGTTAATTTTTTTAACGTGTTAGGAAAATATGTTGATGTTATATGCAATTCATACATGATACATGTTTTAAAAAGTTGTGATAATAATAATTTGATCTCTCCAACTTTGTATTGTATGATGTTACAAAAAGTAAATGATGGAATATGCAAATCTTCCTACATATATATTGAAAATATTTGTAATTCTTATTACTAATTTAGGAATTGTGAAATTGAGTTGTGGAAATTAATTTTTTTTAACGTGTTAGGAATTGTGAAATTGAGTTGTGGAAATTAGGAATTGTAATTCTTATTAACGTGTTAGGAAAATATGTTGATGCAATATGTAATTCATATATAATACATGTTTTAATAAGTTGTGAACATAATAAATTAATCTGTATGCTGTTACAAGAAGTAAGTGATGAACCCGGCCTTCAAATTTTTTGATTACCAATAATCACCGCTGGATTGCCGCCATATAAGATAAACTTTGATATATCACTATTAATAAAGTTATAAGAAATTCAAAATAATAACTTAATACTTATAATGATCGGAGCTTCAGCTTCTCGCCAGACTGTCGCAAATATTTTGGGGGAATCTCTCCTTTTTGAAAATTTTAGCTTAGCGCCGGAATATATGGTCACTTTTCCGACTAAATTTTTTTTTGTTTACTATGCCTCTTCAACCTTCACCAAGAGAGTTTTTTACACATAAACATAAATAGCAGAGTTTTGGGGAGAGTTTCTTCACTGAATTTCAAATTTTTTCCAATTTAATATTTCAGACATGGTATATATAACAGAGTTTTGGGGAAGGTCAATTTTCCTTTTGGGGAGAAATTGAAAATTGCAACTCAAATACGATTTTGGAAATATGCAATAATATGGTGCATAAAGAAGATGTATAAATTAGCTTCAGCTTCTCGCCGGATTGGATGATCAAAGCTTCAGCTTCTCGTCGGACTGGATGGTGATTTTTCCAAACGGAGCTTCTTTGAACAGAGATCTTTTGTCTTCCATAAAACGTCATAAGTTCAGCTTCTTCTTCTCCAAAATCTATGTTTGCTTCTTAGTTGCTTTCTTTGTCGATTGCACTTGATCATAGAGTTCAGTTTGTATATTTAAAAAATGAGAGGAATATTTCAGATTGAATGTATATATATTTCAGAAATGAAAGGGATATTTCAGATTTGTATATATATATATCAGTTTTGGGGGTAAGTTGAATTTTCATTTTGGGGGGAATTTCAAATTGAAAATCAAATACAGAGTATAGGAAAGTATATACAAAGTATAAACAATTATGTACAATTAGAAAGGGTATAAGACAAATTACAGTATCTATCCATTTTACCACATCAGCCGAGTTATCCCTCACCGGATAGTTTCCAGTGAGAGGGGAATGGAGACTATTTTTTTTCTTCCGATTTTTACGGAGTAAGAAATTTTTACTCCATGCATATTGTGATACCAGTTAAATTAATTAATTATTTATAGTGACTGTAAAATTTCACAAGGACACTAAAAGTTACCCAAATTAAACGGCACAACTTTCCCATCCGCGAGAAGGAAAGGGTTCAAGTCCACAAAAAGTGTGAATGTGTTTGTTTTGTTATTTTAAAAAAAAATTAAATAAATAAAATAGAAACAAGATTTCATCTAATAATCTAGAGCCTAAAAACAGGACCAACAATATCTATGAAAGAACACACTTTAGGAAAACAAACATTTTTAAAAATTAAATATATCGCATAGTGATGCAATGAAGCACAAAGGAATCATTCTTTACTTTGCTCTCATGATCATATAAGAATTTGGCTCTGAAGTGTGCCACCAAAGTACTACAAAATATATAAATATATTCCAATTTCATGAAATACTTTAACATATATATATATATATATATATATATATATATATATATAATTTTAACATATTCTATCCTAAAAAATTAACACATATAGGAGGAATATTATAATATATATGTATATTTTTTCAAATATAGGAGGAATATTTCACATTCCACTTTTCAATACTAATTATACTTCGATATTGCAGTATGAGAGTATATTTGGGGAAGTGTCAAATATCACTTTTTATTGAATTTATGTCTTTAATTTATTTTTCTTCACAAGTAACAATATTTTTTTTTGCCTTTATTTTAAAAAAAAAAATTCCCAAGAAACTATGACATACAAACACATAAACCAATTTCGTTTCCACAGAGGCTTGAACTGTAAACCTAATCCACCCATTTTATCTCAACTATTACGATCTACTAATACCAACTGATTTATATGATTGATTAACATATTGCATTGTGCCGATAAATAATGCTCAGAATCCAAAGTGGAACACCTTTTTCTTCTTTGATGATGAAAAGGACATGAATCATTTTAGCTCTGTTTATCTGTGCGTGTGAGTGTGTGATTCTGCAATTCTACTTTCCTTCTTATCTGAGCGAGCTTTTTTATTTTTTATTTTTTTATGTTCTCGGACATTTTAAAGATACTGGATGATTTGTAACATAGGTCACATCGGGATGGAATGGACCTAAGGTTCTAGTTTCAGTAATACACTGAATCCAACTAAATTTCTTTCAATTTCAAATCCAACACATCAATCCAGTCGTGCAGAGCTTTCACCACCATGGCGATTCTTGAATTTGTAGAAGGAAGCGTTAGATCTTCACATCGGACTATGTTCCATAGCACAACACATTGGGGTGCATATGGATGGAGAGTGTCTTTGACCTTAAACAATTATGCACACAACATTACTGCAATTGAAACCAGGTGAAAAACGCCTTGAATTGAATACAATAGTTTTTTATTTTATTTTTCAAATCCCACACTTGTTTTGATAGCGAGCCAAAATTAATTCAGGAATCTGATAATTCATTCCTTGATATTCTAAGCAAGTGATCCCATAAATGCTGTAATTCTAAATGGAAATGCTAGAGAGTAGAGAGCAGTGTGTTGTCAATCAAATAAGATATCAATACATGAAAACCAATAAATAAATTAAACTAATCTTGTCAGGCTGTTCAACAATGTTATATTCCTATTCTGTTGGCACTCGTTACCCCCTCTTCCCAGAAATCAAAAGAAAAAAAAAGGGTTTGAACTTTGAAGTCGAAACACAATGATAGACAACAGAGGGGAGAGAAATTTTTTAACAGTCAAAAGATGTCTGATTGTTGGTTTGAAAGTCTTCACTCATGCCTTGTTTACAGAATTTTTTGTCAGCAAGCAAAAGCAAAACTCGATACTCGGACAAGAATCTTTATCATAAACCTAATATTTCAAACTCTACTACATCTACACATAAAAGACTTTCATATCCATGATTAAACCAAAACAGATGAACAGAGCAGCTATGTAATTCTAGATCCATACATAAAGTTGGATAAGGATGTCAAGACAAATTTTAAGATAGGAAAGCATATAGCTATCAGGAGGATCTCTTTGTGCAATTATGGGGCTTTATCATTCTTTTCTTATTCTTTTCCTACTTAGAAACACCTATTTTAACCTCACCCCATCCCTTTACCACACGAGACAAGTTTTGGCTGGGATTGTAACCTTTTTTCATTAAAACTTGAATGATAATTTCAAGGATAAAACCAAAACTATGCAGATGCTGCGGTTAAAGTCCTTTCATATCATATCCTTATGGTTCTCCTGAACTATGCCCGATTTTTTCTTGAATCTAAATGCCAGTACCATGGATAGATTAAGATGCAGTTTGATGCTTAGAATTCCTTCCTAGCTAACATGGATAACATCAAGAGTAAGGAAGAAATTATCAAGATAACCATGACTAACTTGAGAGAAAATTATGGACCTGGTATCATAATATTGCTCAATTAAATATGATTATCAAAAACATATTCTGCTTTGGGCACAATGCGGAAATATACAAAGAGGGAAGTATCTATATACATCTTTGAGAATACGTGGACCGATCAAAAAATATACAAAAGACTCCAAGGAAAATTGTAAAGAATCATCCAACTAAAAAAGCTACGTTCTTAGCACCAGCCCTCGTAACCAACAAACAAATTATGTTATATAGGCTTGACTTGCTTGAGTCAGGTGCAAGTACATGTCAGAAGCATTTGAACTATCAAATCCCCAAACCTAATGACAAGGGTACATTCCAAATACTCATCTTATCAATATATATATATATATTTTTCTGGAGTTAAAAATCCATTTAATGTAATACGAAATATTCACTATAGACGCTTCACTCATGTGAAACAATATGTGACAAAAGGAAGATATAAAGTTTTATGTGCAATTATATAACAAAGCTTATTAGGTGCACATCCAACCAGATGTGTCAAACACACATCTCATACCCAGATCCCGGTGCCATGCTACAACACGGGTACTTCACACATTCTTGAAGAGTCCATGTAGCATATTGAGATGCAAGTTCCTCTCTTTTAAAAGTTCTCCTAACAGTATGTATCAGGCTTGAAATGGTTTTCTAAGATCCCAATTGGCATTTCAATTACTGACTCGAGAGAGTTGGGATAGAATAGCTTAAAATGAAAATGTGACCAGGTGGCATACAAAAGAATTGCCAATTGTCCTAATATGATGAGAAGATAGGCTTTTAAAGCATGATTTTTTATAACAAAGGAAGGACTCTTGTTGGAAAGCATGTCTGACACGAATTCATCTGCTGTCCCAATTGTCAAAATATTTGATATAGGAATATATACTGTGTGTTTGAGAAAAGAAGGGGGGGGGGGGGGGGGGGGGGGGGGGGGTTTGGTGGGTTTGGTTGCCATAATCTACTCAGTGACTTGTCTAACACGAGTTCATATATCACAATCTTTCATCCAAACAAAAGTACACCATTTAGAAATCTCAGTAACATGTGTGAGTACACTTTGAAAAGTATTTCCATCACATACCTTTATAAATATTAAAGCACTACAGAGAACAACTGCCTTACGCCCTTAGTGATCAAGCATTAACAAACTGCCAATGAAAGATTACACAAAACTACATCATCAACTCTATCATTATGATATGCATTAAGTGACGGAGAACAAAACATGCATAGACATTTAATACTGAATTAGTAGCTCATCTGGAGGAAGATTATGTCTGTGTTGTTTCTTGTCTTGGTCTTTTTTGCTCGGAGGGAGGACCATCCCTTCGTCTTTCATACCTTCTGCTCTCATATTTAGATTGTCTGCGTTGCTTTGGTTGATAGGTAGGGTATTTGCAGGGAATTATCTCACCATTTATATATTTATCACCTAAAAACCACATAAGAAACATTACTGATTATGTTAACACACATCTACTTATTAAAATTACAAACATGTCAAGCAAACTGACCTCCATAATCTTTATTTTTAACATCTATATATGAATCCGGCAACACCCAAAGAACTCCAGGCAATCCTACACAAGGAGATAATACATGTTGACACACATAAATCATCACCACAACATATATTTTGAACAATCAAGCACTTGCTATATCTACATACCTTTGAATTTCTCAGACGTTTCCTCGGACACAGTGCACTGGAATCCAGTATAAGTAGTGGTACTGAAAGCATACATATTCTTCTTTGCTTCTTCCATGCTGCTCGACAAAGAAAACCAATGTGAACTCAACAACAACCATTTGACGAAGAGGAAAAAGGAAATATATCATGAGCAAAAGCCCCCTTTTCTTGATTAAGATTTTCAAAACTATGTGTTATCAACAGATGCCTTACTTAATATAGTGCAAAAAATATTTTTAAAATCGTTATAGATAAGCACTAAATTTCTCATAAAGTCATCTAATCAATCTCCTCCAAAATAAAAGGTGTTTCTTAAAAAACAAAATAAAATCGGAAACTTAATATTCACATGCTTGTGAGCTCATTATATGAGCTGAGTTGAGAATGAAACGTTAGACAACAATGATTGAGTTCAATTTTCAACTTAATGTTTTCATCTTGTATTGGTTATTAAAACATTCAAAAAATGAGAAGCACAGATTGGGATAATTTTCTTACTTTCTCGAAAATCCCATATTTAAAAGTTTTTTCTCCCACATTCTCTCGCAAGCCGCAAACGGAGAATGAATATATTTCCCGAGAAACAAACAGCACAAAAAGAAAATGGAGGCTAAAAAGCGAACCTTCCCACGACTTGAGCGAGGGTATTGAGGTAAGTATCGATCATCTGCTCTCTGGTGGGTGAAGGGTCTTTGGGGAACTCCATGACGATGAGCCAGTGGTTGTAGTCACAGCCCGGTAACATTATCGTCTCCCTGGTCTCGTTGCTGCTACTTCTCTTCGGCGAGTAGTCTCCGTCGAGAGCGGCTCGAACCGGCGTCGTGGAAGCAACATGATAGGTTGAGAGAGGACGAGTTGGGAGGCGAGTCAGTGAGTTGAATCTGAACGAAGAGACGAGTTGAAGAGCAGGGGTTGATGAGGGTTTTGTAACGGAGGGTCTAGGGTTGGGGACAAGGTGAGAGGATGAGAAAATTAGGGTTTGGGGGGTTACGAAAGAGGCGTTGCAGACTGAAGCCATTGGAATGAGAGAGAACCTGAGGTTAGGACTTGAGAGTTGAGAGTGAGATTAGGATATTTATATATGTGCTCAGATTTTTCTCTCGAGTGGGTGAATATGGGATGGGATGGGATGGGATGGGCTAGGCTTTGTCTTGGGCTTGGACTTGATTGGTTTTGGACTAGGCTGGTTATAAAATCTGTTTTCGAAATTAAGGTTTGGATATGTTGTGGGTTTTCTCTGTCTGATATTTACGTACCATCGTGTTATTAGCAACAAAAGCAATAAAAGAAGGCAAGATAAATCAAATTGGCACGAAGGTAAATTTAATTTTCAAACACAATGAGTATGATGGAAAATGGATAGAATGGGAGCTTAAGAGGATTGATGAGGGAAAAACGATGCTTTTATGTAAAAATGAAAATGTTAAAATGAATGAGTTGAGTGATTACAAAAATATAGTTAAGTTCTAAAAAGCCTTTAAATTTATTTCAGGGGCGAACAAGAATTTTTTCTCATTCAGTCATTAATGGAGAGATAAAAATATTAAAATGACCTTCTTACAATTAAAATAAAAATTCAATTAATGTAAAATGACTATTAAGACCTTTATATATCAAAAGGGTAAGGGTATTTTTTATTTTTTTTTTTATTTAATACAATTAATTAGTCATGTGCGAGACACGTGATTTGTTAACAATACTTTTCTAATGGTTAGCAACTGAAAAGTCATAGTTTGCAACATTTTTAAATTTTAAAAAGAGTTATATACCCAAAGTAAAAGAGGGGTGTTATTTGCTAAAAAAAGTAAACTTTATGAGTGTTTTATAAATTTAGCGTAAAAGTAAAATTAGGTGTATCATTCGTTGGTGAAAAAATTAAAGAGAGTAAACTTTCATAGTTTAAAGTATGGATGCATCTATCTTAGATTTAGAGACAAGTCGATCAAACAATATCAATTGTTTGTAAAAGGTCAGAGACAGGAAGGGAGATCAAAAATATGTTTCATCCTCATCTCTTCTTTTTCATTCATTTTTTTTTTCTCCTACCAAACACAATGTGTGAGAACAAAGGAAATATAAGAGATTTATATATTCTTTTTATCAATATGTAATTTAACTCTATAAAATACAATAAATTAACATTTTTAAAAAAAGTTAAAAAAGAAAAAAATGATTATAATTTAAATATTATATATAATATATTTAAAGTAAAATAATATATATAAAAATAATAGCAGTCTGAGTTTGGATTGAAATTGGTTGTAAGCATCTCAATCTAAATTCAAATGATTTGAAGATTTTCAATTCAAATCCAATTTTCATTGTAAAAAATAGTTGCTCAAGCTATAAAAATGCGGGTTCAGATTGGCCCACCCAAGAATCAACCCTAGTGTCATTGGAGGAGTTTTTTTCCTCTCGTGGTAAGTCGGCACTCTCGTTTGTCAAATTGACTGTGTGACATTTACGGTCTCGATCCAAATGAGTGTCCTTCAAATATTTTTGAAGGGTTTTTGGTGAAAAAAAGGCGAGGGGCAAACACAGTTTTTGGTGCTTGGGTTTAAAACTTTGATTGAAGGAATTGACAATACTATAAGTAGCGAGACCCATGTTCTTGTACAAAAACTCTCCACGCATCACAGAATATGGACCATCGGCGTTTGGGAAGAAGGTTATGGTATTCATACCAGAAAAAAAAAAAAAAAAGCCAAACCCACTACGAATTTCTTCATTCGCAATATAAAATAGGTTTGTTGTAACCCTTCAACGCTTGAATTCTTCTATTAATTTTTTTAGATACTAACAAATGCGTCTATCCACTACAACAAATATTGGTATTAGGGGCAAAACTTTTTGTTGCTAAATACATACAATTTGTTGCAAAAAACTTTTTGCAAAAAAAAAATTTTGTGGCGAGGTTGTCCCTATAAGTGCTTCACAAAAGGTTTTACGCAACAAAAACTTTTGTCGCAAAAAGTTCAATCTTTTACAATAAGAAATTTACTTGTCACAAAAAATACAATGATTAGCAACAAATAATTTGTCTCCATTACTCCAAAAATTTGTTGCTTAATACAACTCCATTCAAAGGACTTTTGTTGCTAAAAGGTTTATCTTTTTGCAACAAGAAATTTACTTGTCCCTAAAGATATGACAATTGGCAACAAACAATTTATCCTTATTTCTCCACAAATTTGTTGCTTAATACAACTCCAATCCAAGAAATTTGTTGCTAAATATACAATAATTTGCAACAAAACTAGATTGTTTCTAAAAAATGTATCTATTTGCAACAAAACTAGATTGTTTCTAAAAATATATCTATTTGCAACAAAATTGAATTCATTATTAAAAAATAAAACAATTGCAACAAAAATATATTTGTCACCTCATGTAGTGCAATTTGCAACAAAACTACCTTTGTCACAAGTGTTGATATTTAATAACAAATATTTTTAATTGCCAATTTTTTAAAATTTGTGAATAAATGCATTAAAATCATAATTTGGTTTTTATTTTTTTTGTTTTCAATAATATTTTTCTTCCACTCAATAAACTAATTTATAAGACATCTTTTTTTCTCACTAATACCAAACATGTCAATTAAACAAATTATCAATTACAAAATATACAATCTAATATTTTACAAATGAAAAAGTAAAATACTTTTTCATATATCTAATCATCCATACATATTCCTAATATGACATCAAGACAAGATTCATATACATAGAAAATGATTAAACCTATATCCAACAAAATTGGAAGATCCAAAAGTGAATTTTTCCTAAGCCCATATGAAACAAAAAACATAATCAATGAGACTATAACAAAAACTAATACCATCTACATGTCATCTGCCAACAATGGGAAGATTGGAGATCCATAAATCCAATCCCATGTAAGAACCAAAAGTACAAAAGTTAGTTTATCCTAAGCCAATATGAAACAAAAAATATAGTTAATGGGCCTGCAACAAAAAGTCAAAAAGATAATCCCAGCAACATGCAATCTGTCAAAAAAATAAGAAAAATTATGATTAGTTAAAACCACTACAACAAATTTAAGTTTCTACAAGCTCTTCTCATATTTTCAAGGCCTTTTTTACACACTAAGAATGCAAAAATACAAACCAAATAACAAATCACAAGATAACAAATAATTATTAAGGCAGCACAAAAAAATATCTTAAACAATTCACATTAATACAAAAGCCAACATGTTTGGAATGATTACAAATACTAAATTTTGCCCCAAGTCCAAGGTTCCTTGGCCCTTTGCTAAAAACTACCTTAACATAGATGAACTAGTCTGAGGGATGAACTAATGCCAATGAATCTTTTACATTGCATATTTAAACATAAAAAAGAAAAATAATTGAGAAAACGTGAAAAACCTTATTGAAACATTCTATCAACATTTGTCCATATATTTGGTTCCATAAAAATGTAGGATATCACTCTAGATTGGGTTTAAAATAATTTATGCAACTTAACCCAATCAGTTGGGAGCCAAGGCTTCTTGAGTTAAGTACACGATTCTAATTTTTTTTTCCTAGTTAATACTCACACACCTCCCTCCAAAAGTACACAATTCCAAATTAAATGGTACCCCAGTATTTGGGAGCTAAGGCTTTATTGAGTTAAGTTCATGATCCCAAATTAAATGGTCCAAGCTTTTTTACGTTTTGCCCACGAATCATCAGTTGCAACCTGTAGCTAGGCCGTCTGAGGAAGGAGGGGTTTGCTCACAAAATTAATACCCAAAAAAAAAAAACTTTTCAGTGCGAAAACATGAAGGGCATGACGATTGTAAATTCCTCTATCTGAAAACAATTCATGCATCCTAGTGATATCCTAAGGCCTCCACATACCCGCAACTTCCAGTTGTCATTTGAGTCTTGGAGCTAAGGCTTTATTGAGTTAAGTTCATGATCCCAAATTAAATGGTCCAAGCTTTTTTACGTTTTGCCCACGAATCATCAGTTGCAACCTGTAGCTAGGCCGTCTGAGGAAGGAGAGGGGTTTGCTCACAAAATTAATACCCAAAAAAAAAACTTTTCAGTGCGAAAACATGAGGGGCATGAAGATTGTAAATTCCTCTGTCTGAAAACAATTCATGCATCCTAGTGATATCCTAAGGCCTCCACATACCCGCAACTTCCAGTTGTCATTTGAGTCTTGGAGCTAGTCAGTAAAATTTAGAGGTATGAGTTTACCTTTCAACTAAAAATACTAGCTCCTTCATATAGGCATAAAGATTAACAAGGTATCCAAAAAGACACTGAAAATGAAGTGAACTGGTTGCTCTAGTTATTCCCAAGCTCAATCAAGGTCAAGAGTAAGCATAACCCACTTCTATCCTACTGTATTTTTGAATGCATCCTTGCATTTTGGTATATTTTTCTCCCCTTGTATGTTCTAGAGTGCATTTGAAATAATTCTCATCCAAATTCTTATAAAAAATTTCACTTGTCAAGAAAAAGTGAAGAAGGAATAAAAGTAAAGGACAAAAATCTTCTCAAAGATAATACCTAATAAAACCAACAAAGAAGACCAATGAAAGCCGAAAGAAAAGATAACAATTGAAGATTTCCAGTATCCTGGGTTCATGCCTGGCTACTTGGCTAGAAATTAGCCTTAGCAGTTAGCACTTCCAATATGAGCATTTAACTAGGATTTGATTATAAGGAAACAAGATCTCCCTATCCCACAATATTTGCTGAAGCTTCCAACTTCTTCTCTACACTTAAGCTATGTCACCTGGACTCAGCTACACGTATTGGGTGTAGGTATGTGTCCTCAAACAAATAGTAAAGCATAAGATTGTCAAAGTTTTCTCCTAATAAAAATTAGAATAATACTTGAGATTGGAATAAAAAGCAAGTAATTTATCAATACTAAATATTTTATAACATTTTTTTTCCTAGTTAAATATTTTATAACATCTCAACTCAACAAACCAACTCTATTTTCAACTATTAAAGTTGGCTATATGAATCCAATTTTCAAATTCCATTTTGTCCATGTATTCCATTACTTTATAAACCAAATAACAGATATTAACTGAGTTAAAACTATTTTCCATAAGCAAAAATAGTCATAGAAAAAAGTTGTGCAGTAAACAAAACTATTAATCTACTACTAAAAGAGCCATGGGTTTAAAGGAACTCCTAGATACCCAAACATGCTCACTGTACTTGTTATATTGAGTAATACATTACTGAATTTCAGTTCAAGCAACCACTTAGTACAAATAAAAATATAGGTGTGTACCCATTCATTCCTCCCAGCAAACTTGAGTACAGAGACCATAATTGGTAAAGCCATTCTTTAACATTATTAAGTTTCAGCATGAAGCTAAAAACTTTATAAAATAGCCCCAGCATAATCATAAGAGTTCATGAGGTATGGGTACATAAGTATATGACAAAGGCGTAACCTGAAAACCCAGTTACTTTGTGCTTTATGGTTAAAGTCGATTAAGAATTAAATACCTCCAGTTATACTCATAAAAAAAAAAAAAAAAATTAAGCAACTCCAGTTACAAGGCACATTTCTAGATTCTCAAAATCAAACCTCTTAATCCTCCCATTAAGTGTTCTGCTGAAACAGCGAAAACTAATTCTCAGCTAGCCACAAAAAACACAATCATCAAAGTTAGCAAGAACCAATCATAAAAGAAAATCTTATGATTCTTCACAATTTTAAAAGAGAAATGCATATATATAATTGTAAGAATAATAACCTTGCCTTTCTGTATTTTCTTCCGTATCCTTTACCTTCTCCTTAGCACCTTGATTTACTTTATCTTCAGCTTGTTCAAGACTCAAGTTCAACCCAAATTTACCAATTAGTCTTTCAAATCCTGCAAAGGGAGATCCTATTTCAGTTATTAACTTCAAAAATATTTATAACTAAAATTCATAAAATAAAATAAAAATTATATAAAAAAGATCATAAAAAATATGAAGGAACCAAAGCTCCGCTCGGTTCATTTATAAGCTTACAGCCTTATTAACCAAGTTCGAGTCAAGTTCGAGCTTTTTGAAAATTTATCGAGCCTAACCAAGTCCACCAGAGCCCGAACACCTATCTAAAATGTTGGAAAAAATATATATATATATATATATATATTTTTTTTTTTTTTTTTTGTGAAAAAGAAAGTTACTTAACTGGGCCGGCTCAAACCTTAAGAGGTAGGCGATTGCCTAAAGCTCCAAATTTTTTTTCACTTTCATGTAGTATATAATCTTTCTAAAAATTTTATTTCCTTTCAATAAAAAAACTTAAATAGTGGGCCAAAATATTTCTATACTTTTCTCAATTATAAAAATCCCAATATTTCCATATATTAGTCTCCTTGATACAAGCATTGCAGGACGTATCACTAGTTAAACTCGATGCTTAGAATTAATTTTATGGAGCATTCAAATGGAATCATTCTCACTTAGATGATCAGATGAGCCTCATTGAGTCATTGCCATATTTTCTATTTTCCTTGAGTTTAATTGCACTTATTTTCTAATTGAGGTGCTCTTTCTACCTTACTTATATTCAAGTTTATTAGTGAAGTGTACTGCTACAACTGTAATATGTTGAAACTTGAAAATAAAGTCAACTTATTGTTTATGTTTCCAACCTGAATCAACAGCATATATCACCAAGTCAAAGACAAAGAAAACGATCAACCAATCTATTCATCAATCTACCACAACAGATCCATTTTTTTTTTTTAAATATTGAACATAGTAAAGTAACACCATAGTTAGGGTGAAAAAATTAGCACCATATAGCTCAACTGATATTCTGTTAAGTGCTTTGAAAAACTAAGCATATTCTGATTTTACTAACAAAATTGAAACCTAGCAGCAGCTTTGTCTATGGTTATGAAGAAGTCATTTATGACCCTTGTAAGCTCAAACAAGTCCTATTATCAAAGTGATTGCGGATGAAGGTTATCACAAAAATCTAAACAATATCAGAACATGAAACATAAAAAAAAGGATCATAATTGGAATTCAAAGAAAATATAATCAAAATCATATATATGTATGTATTGTACAGTAAAGGATGAGCATCACGAAGTTAATTTACATTCATCCTAGTTTATTCCCTATGATCACAAGCTAAAGGATGAACATTATGGAGCAAAATAGTAAACAAAGTTTAAATACAAATAGTGGCAAAATAAGTGCAACTGAAAATAAGTGCAACTGTCTTGTGACACACACAGTGAGAGCGACAAAGAGAGAGAGAGAGTTAACTTATAATTTCATCCTACCATCACCCTGTTTCTTCCTCTTGTTCCTATTTGATCTCCAACTTCACTCTCATGATTATAATTTATGCTCTTCAAACATAAAATGTTGAGTATTACAGTTACATTAAGGTCTCTTTTAACTCTTAAATTGTTTCGATTGGATATATGTAAAGTTAATGCACAAGCTCCACAATAGGGCACCTTAGGAATACAACTGCCCATGCCAAAGACTAGTATATCAGATCTAAGAATGAATAAGAATTGAAAAAAAAAAAAAAAAAAGAGACAACACCCAAATTTATTCTAAGAGAAAATGCCCAAATTTAGTCTAATCTTTCCCAAAAGAAATGAGGGTGCAGATTGTTCAACAAAACAGAGATAGATATATGTGTGTGGGTGTGTGGAGATAGAGAGAGATGCTACCATGATTGTTGCCGGCGAGAGGACAGAGTTGAGAGGTGAAGTTGGCCGCTAGGTTTCCTGAGAGCCAAAAAGTTAAATCTTTTAACAAATACACAAACATAAAGAAGGAAAAAAACAGTGTTTATGGAAACAAAAAGTAAAATAGGGGAATCGAACTAGGTGAGGGCCACCAATCAAACTGGGGTATGTTAGGGCTTCAATCGAACCACTGAATGCCTCAAGATTACACTTGATTTTAGTTTGCAAAACAAGAATTACGGACCTTGATTAGTTGATTTAGAAAAAAAAATTAAAACAAAACCCTTACATATAAGTTAGCGGTTGCAGAGAGAGATGGGGGCAAGCTAGAGAGTTGAGAGACAGCGGGCCAGCGGCTGAAGCTTGCGAACGGCGAACCCGAACTGGAACAGTGGGCAATGGAGGTTTTGATTTTTTGAACAATCTGAGATGATATGCCGATATGGGTTTTGATATAGGTAATAGGTTTTCAACTTTTGATTCTTGCAGAAAGATAGATAAACTGAAATATATGGGTTTTGAACTTCTGATTCTTGTAGATTTTGTAGTTTGCAGTTGCAGAGAGAGGAGGCCCGAAGTTCAGTGAGAACGAGAATAGACATGGAGGCGATTGGGGGGCGGCTGAAATGATTTAACCTAAAAATATATTGCACCTGTTTGGTATAAGGTTTTTAAGATATTGCACCTGTTTGGTTCTCCTTTTCCAATTAGTGCTGGCGCCCAAAGTTGGGCGGGAGTTCCAATTTTTTTTTTAGAATTTTAGCACAAAATAGGAAGTTTGTGTTTATTTATTTATTTATTATTATTAAAAATCTATCTTTCAAAATAAATAAATTCATTCTTCAATTTAATGAAAAAATATCAGTCTATTTATAAAACAACATAACAAATTTTTTATATTTGTTTTTCTTCATTATAATTTTAAATTATCTTAATTTTTAACAGCTACAGTTACTCCATTATTTGTCATGAAACAATTTTAACCCAGACAAAACTTATGAGATACGACCCAAACTTAATCTCTTGGTCTTTTAGAACTTAATCTCTTGGTCTTTTAGAATTATTAATTTTTATAATAATAAAAAGTTTAATTAGTTCTTTTAAAATAATCTCTCATTAATCCCATGGTAATGGATAATTCAATTGATTTTTTTATTTAGTAGAGGGTTGTGATTAAGAAAATTTTGATCATGTGACCAATAAATGAATTAGAGTATAACTTCACTTACATATTAATACTCTGGTAATTCTAATGTTTTAAAAATAAATATTAATCATTGTATCTAACTGCTTGATAAGTACGTAATTAAGTTCACTAAAAATCATCTTGAATGATCTCGATACTAATTCAACGTGATTATTTCATAAAATAATTTCATAATGGGTGGCGATATTCGCATTTCACTTTTCTACACTTGCATTCCGGCCCCTATTTCTTTTAAATAAAATGACAAAAAAAATCCCTAAACTCATTAATGGACCATCTTTTATTTTAAAATATCACAACTTATTCTTTATAGTATAAACTTTAACCTTTTATACCCTATTTATTTTCTTTATGACTTTTTTTTTTTTTGAATCCTATCAAAAGAGATAATAATTATTATTTTTACAAAACAAAAATGTTAGAAGTTAAATTAGTAGATGTAAAGAATCAAAGCCTGGCACTTCAAAATTCACCAAAGGCACTAACACGGCTATCGAGACATATGTGATAATTAATTCAGCAGATTGAGATAACTTATTTTGGATTTTTTTTTTTTTTTTTTTGGGAGGGGGGTCTTGTCAAAAGAGATGGAACATAATTAGAGAAACATAAATTATTATATAGAAAAGAGTTAGAAAGATAATATAATTAATACTTTTCAATATATATATATATATATATATATATATATATATATATATAAAAAATATAATATAATTAAAAAGAAAGCTAAATTATTATTTAAGGGAAAAGTTAGAAAACTAGTATAATTAGGCAAAAAGTTAAATTTATATTTAGGGAAGAATTAAAAAGAGAATAAAATAGAAAACATAAATTTATATTATTAATAATGTATTATAAATAAAATATATATTATTAAAAATTAATAGAAAAAAGAAATAAATTTAGAGAAAATATGAATTATTATTTAGGAAAGAGTTAGAAATGTAATAAAATTAAAAAAAGGGGTAAATTATTATTTGGGAAACAGACATGAAGAGAATAAAATTAGGGAAAAAGGTAAATAAATACTTTATAGTTCTAAAATAGTTAGAAAGAGAATATAATAGAAAAAAGTAAATTTTTATTATTAAAAATATTTTATGAATAAAAAATAAAAAAACAATGTACTAAAACTTTACCTAATAATGTGACAATCTAATGTATTGGAATTCTTTGTACTCTTAATAATCGTATAGATTTTTTGAGTCTTTAAAATAAGTTTAAGTAATTAGAGTATGAAAATTTTAATTATTTTTTAATTATTAATTATTGTATATAATTAATATATAATTTATGTTTTCAATTTGGCCATTTGATTCTATATCCTTAAGAAAGATTCGCCCCGCTATAGTGCAACGACCATTCTTTCTTTGGTAACTGAAGCACGTACGTACTGGTTCAAATAACTAGCTGCAACCCTTTAATGCACTGGTTGGACCAATCGCACTGTACCCATTCAATGAAAAAACCAATTTAAATAAGCCCAGCAAAAAATTAAATTCAGTCCACATAGCAAGCCCAATTCCGTTTAATAAAAAATTAACCGGACTTTACAATCAAGACTGGACCCGGCGAGCGGGGCGCGCGTGTGTGGTAAATGGTTTGGAACAAGAATGGACCAGATTGGAGACAATTGGCAAGGTTAAATGATATGCCCTAAATTTTGTTTTTTAGGTGGCCCATCATCCATGGCCTATCAATTTTGAGGCCTTATAAATTTTGTTTGTAACTTTGGTTTGCAAGGTTGGGTCTTTTTGTTTTACTATGGATTGGGTTGAGCTGAATGGCTGATAAGAAACTTTTTTTTTTTTTTTTTGGACCTTTGCTATAACTCAGGTTAGGCCATGAATAGTTCTACCTATGAGCATAAGTAATATGTTTTTACCAATTATAGTAATTAGCAAGAAATAGATTATTTGCGATAAATTATTTGTCACAAAAGTTAGTTTTTTCGGGCACAAATAATAATTTTGATGCCAAAAGATTCACAATTTGAGACAAAATAAAGATTTGTCGCCAAAGAGTTAGCAATTGGCGACAAAAATTTGTCTCTAAAAATGTATCTTTTGGCAACAAACTATTTGTCACTAAATGTTAAATCTTTTGGAACAAATAATATTTTTGTTGACAAAAGATTCACAATTTGAGACAAAAAGGAGATTTGTTGCAAAAACTTAACTTTTTGCAATAAAAACTTTTGTGTCTAAAAATGTATTTTTTGGCAACAAACTATTTGTCGCTAAATGTCAAGTCTTTTGGAGCAAATAATATTTTTATTGACAAAAGATTCACAATTTGAGACAAAAAAGGGATTTGTTGCAAAAAATAAACTTTTCGCAACAAAAACTTTTGTCTCTGAAAAATGTATTTTTTGGCAACAAAGTATTTGTCACTAAATGTTAAGTCTTTTGAAACAAATAATATTTTTGTTGACAAAAGATTCACAATTTGAGACAAAAAAGAGATTTGTTGCAAAAGATAAACTTTTTGCAACAAAAACTTTTGTCTCTAAAAATGTTTTTTTTGGCAACAAAGTATTTGTCACTAAATGTTAAGTTTTTTGGAACAAATAAAATTTTTGTTGACAAAAGATTCACAATTTGAGACAAAAAAGAAATTTGTTGTAAAAAATTGACTTTGGAAACAAAAACTTTTGTCTCTAAAAATGTATTTTTTGGCAACAAAATATTTGTCACTAAATGTCAAGTCTTTTGGAACAAATAATATTTTTGTTAACAAAAGATTCACAATTTGAGACAAAAAAGAGATTTGTTGCAAAAAATTAACTTTTTGCAACAAAAACTTTTTTGTCTAAAAATGTATTTTTTGGCAACAAACTATTTGTCACTAAATGTCAAATCTTTTGGAACAAATAATATTTTTGTTGACAAAAAATTCACAATTTAAGACAAAATAAATATTTGTCTCAAAAAATTTAACACTTGGCAACAAAATCCAGAATTTGTCTCCTAAAATAGTGCCTTTGGCAACCAACTCGTACTTTGTTGCAAAACATTACACATTAGGCGACAAATTTACATGTTTGTTGCAAAAAAATATACATTAGGCAACAAAATTTGAATTTGTCACAAATTGCAGCCTTTTGCAACAAATTTAATTTTTTTGCTAAAAAATTTGTCCCTAATACTATTATTTGTTGTAGTGATCATTGTTTAGTTTGTTTGAATCATTCATCAAAGGATTGATGACGATGATGATTCATAGTTTTTTTAAAAACACAACCAGCACACGCACACCCACTATCACCCCAATGGGGTCAACTTTTTTTTTTTTTTTCTTTCCCTCTCTCTCTTCTTATGGGATTAAATGCAATGAAAATGAAAGTTATATGAGGGTAATTATGAAATTGTCATTGCAGTGGTGTTGTAAATGAATGTTTATAAACTTAACATGGTATCCTATCTCCAATTAGTATCTAAATCCATGTTAATCTTGTTTTTTGGTCTTCCTTTTTACCTTACATTTCTAGTATGATCATGTCACTCTTCCTTATTAATACATTTGTTAGTTGTAGCCGCAAATGACTTAACTATATAAGTTGATTTTTTATTTTTATTTTTATTTATTATTATTTTTAACTCTAACCACAATGGATTCTACTTCAACTGTTTTCCAAATGTATAGATTTCTAATTTAAATCTTACCCCGCATCCTTCTCAACATCCACATCTCGACCATCTTCATTTTACAACGTTTTCAATTTCATAGCCACCCAAAATATCTCATAATGTATAGCCTTTTAAACTATTTTATGAAATTCACACTTTCAATTATAATCACAATATGTAAAAATCATATTCTTTGTGCTTAGCTTTAATATTATTTATCTTAAAACCCTTTAATTATAGAATTTCTTGCTGTACCTCTAATTTAGCATTTATCCCTTGTATAGTTCCATTAATAAAAACAGTATTTATCAACAACTAGCATACACGATCAAACGCCATGCTAAATATGCTTTGAAGATCATGTGTAATAGTTGCCTAGGACATAATAATATATAATTCTTGTCTACAATGTTTATTTTTGTTCTTGCTTTATATGATATGTGTTATACATATTTATTTTTTATTTTACTTTTTTGAAAGGTTACCAAATTCTGAACTCATAATACTAAGTTTCACACAAGAAAAATGAAAGGAAAACCAAATATGATCCACACTTTCTGTCATTGACAAAAAAGCTCTATTTATTTCTTTTTCAAAAAGTTTCAATGTAAAATAAACATCTTCTTATTTATTGGATATTTTAGAAAATAATAATTCATCCAAAAAATAGTCTGAATAAATAAACTAATAACATGGAACAAAACTTCTATTAGTTCTGTGTGGATCAGCTTTCTCTAGGCCGTCTTGTTACAACATGTCACTCGATTAGACATTTTCTGAGTCTTTGGGCAGAATGTATAGCACGACTATTTTTATT